AAATGATAGAGTTCATGAATACGAATCATCATTGCTGATATTTATTCAGAACATGCTATCATTCACGAAGAAATAATGAATGTTATGTTGACAAGTTCTGGTTTAACTCAGAATTTATGGGGGGAAGTTTTGCTTTCCGCAAATTATGTTATCAATAAAATAACTCAAAAGAAACTAACGTAACATCATATGATTATGGAAAGGTCAAAAAACCTTCTTATAAATTTTAGAAGTGTGGGAGTGTCTAACTAAGGTTGCAGTTCCTACTCCTAAGAAAGTTAAAGTGGGACCTATAATGTGGTGACCTTGTGAGTGGGTGTGCCGTGAGCGAGTACAAGAGGCACATATATGCGACCACACTGAGCAAGCTATAGGTGAACAGTCCCATACCACCTACATAAGGAAAAGGTAAAGTGATTTTATGTAGTGGTGTTATCTCCAATTAGTATAAGGCCTTTTGAGATAAAACCCAATAACAAAATCGTGCGGGCTCGATCCTAATGTAGACAATATCATACTATGTGGTGGAGTGGATCGTTACATAAAACATTTGATAGGTTATGCTCATAACATCAGTGCATATCATTTTCTTGTGGGCTAGAACGTCTACATCTTTTGGTCCTGATTTTCTAACATGTTTATTAAAGCAAAGTCTTCTTCTAAATATTATTATTTCTTGGATTAGTTATGTGATATAATTAATCATATGGTATAATATTATTTATGTGAGTTCAATATTAGTTATATAAGTGCTTACTTTTAATTGAGATTATAATATTGAACTATGTAGTTGAATTACTTAATGTTTATAGTAATTTAATTTTACAATATAGTTGATTTAATGTATGATATTATTAATTTTGTATGAGTTCATGACTGGTTTGTGTATTTAATACAACAGACAAAAAATGACTAGTCTAGCTATGTCAATTCTCCCGATAGTCAAGGGAAAAAGATCTATACTAGTATTTAAAGACACGTATAGCTGTGAATGGGCCGAATAAGATAAGATTTTTCGACAACTTTAAAGTGTTTAATGGAAAATGTTATGGATACAGTAAGCAAGTACACTGAGACAAGCTAAATCAAGCTAGTTAGCTATAATGTACAATTTAGCTAAAAGTTAAAATGTTACTGAGTTGCAAACTAGTTAGCTTAGCTATAAGTTAAAATGATTAATGAGGTGCACAAAACCTAAGAGGAAGATGGAAATCTTTTAGTTGGTTCTTGATCTCTACTTGGTAATAAAAAACAAGAGGGTAATGAGTAACCATTTTAGCAATAAGCTATTTGAGTTATACATCATATCTGCTCATATATGAGGGAATAGTAGTACTTATAAGTAGTAGTTTTTGAAGAATATTCTTCAAAACAAATTACTCTACTACCAAGGTAGACTACTTAGATAAGTGTGTACTAAAGTTATGAGCTATTAGAATTGATAGCTAAACAAACTTAACTTCAAGTTAGCGATAATAGCTGAGAAGTGGGTGCTCATCATAACCTAGTAGTGAGATATGAGGAGTGTACTTAATCTAAGTTAGTAATGATATCTAAGAACTCACTTTTAACTAGTAATGATAGCTGAGAAGTGAGTGCTCACTATGTGATGATTGTATCTAAAGCTTAAATAATAAGAGAATTATTTGCTTAAATGATTGAGTTATGTGATGTGTGACATATGAAAGGTTATGACATGTTAATATGATTGTCTTAACATGAACCTAAATATGAATAACTCAATTAATAAATACAAGAGATGTAGAAGTAAATATTAATTAGAACACATTGTAATTAATATCTTTAGCATTAATTCACGGTAATGTCGGTGAATTATTATAAGAATATGCTAGAGATAAAGTGAGTATATATGCACTAGAGACTGTTATACATGCTTGTTGAGAAGCGAATATAGAACCTTGGAAAGGTAAATGGGATGAAATATTTAATATATGGTATTCCATGTGTTGGAAAATTATAAGAAATATATCACATATAAATAATTTTAGGATTATCCCAAAGTGGGGAAAATTGTCCATAGATAAAATTTGATACGAGTTACCTCATCAAATAAGAAATATTTATAAATGTGGGTGTTCTTAATTCTAAGATATTCTGGATAAAACCAAAAATCATTTATAGTATTACAACAATAGTGCATATTATTTTATACGAGAAAAATATTATGGAATAACTAGAAGAGTTCTTTTTCTAGTGGAAGAATTGAGTTATTTGTTCTAGTTGAAGAGTAAAGTGTGCAAGCTTAGAAGTCCTTGAGTGGATTCAAGCTGGTGCCAAGATAATGACATAAATGTGATGCATAAGTCATTGTATGCCTTAAAAAAATTAATGATATACTAATTAGTATATTTGATATGAAAGATTTAACATCTGATAATATAGTAGTATATTCTCAATAGAGTGAGATTGAGATAATACTAGTTATGATAACAAAAGCCTAACTAACTTTTGTAGATGTAAATCTCAAATATAAATACTAATCAAAGTATATCATTGGTTGAGATTGCAAGGCATTTTAATAACTGTGTTTAATTACACATTTTTAATCCAGGATAGGATCACTAAAAAACAATAAATTAGGTAGTTAAGATACACCCTGAGTCCAATATTGCATAGATCGAGGTATCTAACTAAATTAGAAGTATAACAGTGATACAATCTGGATGAAGGATATTAAAGACTCCAAATCCAAAAAGTGGATATGTCTTTAAAATTAAAGGTGTGGTTGTATGTTCTTAATATAACTTAAAGTTAAAAACTTTGAATAAATCAAATAGGAAAGTCAACAAACTTCACCTAAAGGACATTTCAAAGTAAGTTTACACTTGTACTACTAAAGAAAAGGATATTGCTAACAATAAGCTATTTTAGGGCACAAAGTATACATTTGCTCTCTATTGGGGAAATCTCTACAGAGTATAATATTTCTATATACAACCATGTGGCTACATATAAAATTGAGGGTTGTATTAGAGAGCAATTGTACAGATCATCGAGGGGAATGGGATTAAAAGCCAAAAGCTAACAAGTAATCTTAATGGAAACCCAACCTAGCTGACTGGAGATCTCAAGATCTAGGTTCAAAGGGACAACAGAAATTCTGAATGACTCACCAGAAGCACTAGGAAGATATAAATCTTCTGCTCATTTCTATGATGAGACAGTGCTACCTACAGTGAGGATTAGGATAAGCTACGCTTTTAATGACTCTTATACCTTGAAAATTCAAGTGGGGTATGGTAAGATACTCTTAATAAGAAGTCACCTATATGAGTGTGAAGTGTGGCCGCTTCTATGAAAACTATAAAGACTAAATTTTCTGGAGCACTCATTGAATACCAGGAGTTGTTTAGGGCCAAAATGAACACAACAATGAGAACCAACTTTGTGAGGAAATGTATTGTGTGTTTGTTATTATCTTGGTTTACACAAACGGCTGAACAGTTCAAGACATCGCGTTCATTGGTTAGCCAGTAAATCCGATAGCAATACACTAGGGAAGGTTCAAAGCCAAAAGCTACCTATCCTGATATAGTAACTTTCCGACTATACTCTCTCTAGTGTCTGCAAGATCATCTTTTGCATTTTACGCAAATTTCTATTCAAGTGGGGGATTGTTGGAAACGAAGGTATTAAAAATATAAACTTTGGATGAGATTTGGAATAGATTCCACTAATAATTTTTTACGAATCTCTAGATGAGCGCGTTTCTCTCCGCAAGGAGATGAATGTGGTATATTTACTTTCTCAAATCCGTTTCCTGGTGAATGAGAAATTAGCTCCAAAGTGTGGTGTTTTGATAAGTCTTAATGGGTATGCAAAATGTGGGAAGTGTTTGTCCCACATGGAAAAAATGTTGAAACTAATTGAAATTTAAATAAGCCAAATTTGGGCTTGGGCTTGGGCTTACGCCTAATTGTAAAGTTCAATTATTCTTTTTACTAAATGGAATCTTGAATTGGGTCTTTAATTTTAGGCTGGGCTTATTTAAATGGGTGGTTAGTTTTTGAATTTAAATTAAAAGTTAGTTTTTTTTTCCAAAGGGTTGCATCTATTTCTAAAGGGTTGCATCTGCTTTTTAAAGAGTTGCATCTGTTTCTAAAGGGTTGCAACTCAAAACCAACAGACATAACTATTCATGTGAACCATTGCAACCTATTGGAGTGGATGTGTTTATTGATGAACAGACACCATGTGAACCATTGTAACCTATTAGAGTGGATGTGTTCATTGGTGAACAGACACAATGTGAACCATTGCAACCAATTGGAGTGGATGTGTCCAGTGTGAAGAGACACATATAAATGGTTGTGTCCAATGATGAAGAGACACACCTAATCCGAAAAGGCACATTAATTAAAAACTAATTTTTAGTTTTTTCCAAAGGGTTGCACCCAATCCGAAAAGGCACCTTGTTACCTATAAATACCCCCCTTTGGATCATTTGCAAATCATTCATTTTTCAATTTATTCTATTTCCCTCTCTAAACTTGAACCGAACCCAAGTGGGTTCAAATCATAGGTTAAGTGGTCCAAACCACTTAGACATTAATTCAATTTCATCGAGCCATATTAAGATTGGTTCGAACCATTTGGTTTGGATTGCACCTAATTCAGCATTTATATAGTATATAGATGCATTTTTAAGTCAGAGAGAGTATTACACGGATGAGGTTCGCCGTATTCACGAGTTTGTAGTGCTGCTACTGGTGGATATAGACCGTTGTATCGTGGGAGATAGACGCCACTGAGTCCGTTAGCACCATAGCGGGGCGAATCTGTCTTAAGGACATAATATCCAATACTAGCCTCGGTCAAGGTTCATTCTTTGTATATTATTATTATTTTATTGCCTTATTTTGCATATTTAATTAAATATAGAGTTGTATATTTAATTAATAATTTCTTAGCATATTGTTAATTATCACATGACATATTAATATAAGGTTTGTCATATTTTAAATGATGAAACATATATCTTTCCAACACTAATTTCAAATGATATTACATTAACCAGCTCTTTTCTCTAGAATAATTTGGTTTAATCTCACTTTTGGATATCTTGTCAAAAACAAAAACCAACCCTGTGATACAAATTCTTACCCATATCCAATGACTCAACCATCAACATCAAGTGCTCTAAGATGCAAAAAATTTTGAACACCAAGAAACAAAACAATCATCATATTCCAGTAGAGTTACCGGAATGGTCTTGGTGGCTTTTCTAAGACAGCAGAGAAGAACACCTCTCCATCGTCTTTATCGAGCTTTGGGACAATAACCCATTTATGCTTCTTATACCTTAGCATTTTAAAAGCTTCCAAATAATCATCCAAGTCGGCCTTTGCACAGAAGAAGCTATCAATCCATAGCAGGCCTCCTGGCCTCAAAACTCTGTCCCAATCAAACAATACAAAGTCCAAGAGCACAAAATCTATCCAGCCATCGAGAAACCTTGTCGTGTGAATCAAATCCAGAGTATTATCAAAAAAGGGAAGTCTTTGATTGATTGTCAAGTAAAGAGGGACGAGTCCACGAAGAGCGATCATTTCACTGAAGGGTGCCCCCAGATTGATAGTTGCGGAAACTACTGTGACATTGTACTCTCTCATTCTAGCAGCGAATGAACCGGTACCCACACTGAAATCCAGTCCAATTCTCATCTCTCCAGGCTTCAAATGAAGCACTTCAGGTATAACAAAATCTGAAGAAAGGTTTGAATTTGGGTCCTGATACGCAGGCTTGATCCATCTGGGCATTTCGTGATGAGTAAGATTGAAGCAATCCGAGCACTTGAAGAACCCCTTTCGAGTTGACTGGGTAGCCAGGCAAGTGAAGTTCTTGCACCTGTACTGACTCCATCGCACATTTCGGTTATCTGGGAGCTTCCACATGGATTCATTGATAGGCAAAGGCTTGCTGTATAGTTGAGGAGCCCTGGAGAAGCACCTCCTCCTTGGCAGCGGATCGCACCCATGAACCATCAGCTTCTGAGCTAGTTTCCAATCATCTTTGCAGATTTCGCCGATGTCGTAGTCCATGTACTCTTCAAGCTCTTTCTTCATAGCGAAACAAGCGTGGCCAATGCTAGTGAAGGTTCCATTAGCTCCCATGAAGTTCTGCTTCCCTAATCGGTTGGGTTTGATCCTAACATACTTGCGAATCTCTTCAATCAAGAAGTATTCACCAGGTTCATTGGATGAATTCTGTGGTCTTGATAGGGGATGTTGCATTGCTCTGATCTCACCATCTTGCTGCTGCGTCCTTTCAACTAGAGATGCCTGCACTGACCCAACCAGTCCCAAAATATCTGCAAGGAATCTATTGTATCTCAACTCAGAAGATGATGAATTCACTCGCAAGTCTCTCATATCACTAATTTCTTGCTGGATTTTTTGAATGACAGTTTCCACAGTCAATCTTATTACATCAATATCAGTCCCGCCACGGCTCACAAGATTACCATGTTTGCAGAATGCATCAGATATAAGAAAAGTCCTAACAGAGTAGAAGTTTGACAGGGTAGCCATACAGACCAGAAGAGCAAGTGTGCACAGTATAAATATAAACCTACGTTTCCCTCTCCACGTTTGTAATTTTGTTAGAACATTTGTTTTCCTCATCGCTGAGAAACAATGGATCTGAAAAATTCAATATGATTCACATCTCAGATCCATATCAGATACAACAACACTAAACAATTATATAAATCACGAAAATTCAACGATGTTTACAAGATCAAGGAAAACATTCAAACTCTACAATCTATTATGGTTTTCTTTTGGTAATGGCAGTTATGAAATTGAAAAGGAAATAAGTGAAAGAACAATATGCAGAGTACCTGAAACTTGAAGTTGAATGCTGTGGCTGGAGAAATGGGGAAGAAGAGTTTGACCCACTTCATATATTAAAATTAATAAAAAAAGAAGAAGAAAAAGGTCAAAGAAAGAGAAGAGGATCTTGAGATCAGAGCTCACCGCCTCTATTTTCTTAGTATCATTTAGAGTTCTTTATTCTCTTTTTTTATTTTCCTCGAGAAGATTTCCCAAGTACTACATAATATTGCTTACTGAGAAATTCAGCTCTACAAAACTTGTAGCAGTTGAAGAAAGTTAGTCAACTCCACAATTGTTCTGTCCTGTAGTCTCATGCATATTCTACATTAGACATGTCAATCTCACTATCACATTTGACAATAATATAATTCAGAGGATGTGATGTGGGGCAAAAAAACAATGCAGTTGTAGTCACAACCTAACCATCTGATCAAGCAGCACTCCATTCCTTGACTAAGTTTCAATACAAATAAGCAATCAAGCATCTTATTGGTTGCATAACTCACATACTGTATTCACTAATCAATGTGTCATATCAAATATAAAGAATCAGAGCAATTGCCAAATACTTAATTGCATTAAAAAATATCTAAAATTTTCTCTTACCGGAGAAAAGAAATAACATATTTAAAATTCAACACAAGTATTACCAACATTATTTGCATTGCACTCCACGGCGTGTCGCTTGGACTCTACCTGTATTAACAAATAATACATATTCAATGGATGAGTAGCAGGAAGAAGATAAAAGAATGGAAATACAAGCAAGGTTACTTTTACTCATATAATAAGGTCATATGGCATGGGAATCATGATTCTTGAAGAAAGCGTTGACATTTTTTTTTAGGTTCCATGTGCATTGATAAATGCACACATTAACAGAGAAAGTAGCAAACAAACCAAAAGACCATTTGCAATATCAAACCCTGTTTTTCTCAACTCCAAACTCTTTGTGTCCCATAATTGAAATTCGTAGTATAAATTAAGAAATACATATAGCAATGAGCACCTGCTTAGAGGAAAGTTAAAACAATGAGGCACGCATGTCAAAACCACATTTTTATCAGACTAAAAAATTGGGGATTAACGAACTAGAATTGAAGAAATCTGAATTTAATCAAATTACAATCACAAATTTAAGAATTTCCTACATAGATCAGGAATTCAACATTATATGATATATATATATATAAGTAATTTTACAAACAATTCATTAATTAAACCATAAGGAGTGAATGTCAAAGACTAAACTCTATCTTTGCATTGACATTCAACAGCATAAGAATTCTCATGTGTTTCACTACCTCTGCTTTACAATCAAACAAAAATCACAATCCATAATCAAACCCTTCAATTCCCACCAATCCTAACTATCCAAAATTTAACATTTTCCAAAACACATCCAATCTAATGAACCACATAATCCCCAAAATCACAAATCAACCATCACCTCCTCCGACCATTTGAATACTGCGACAGCGGCACCACCTCCGAGAGCGGCGTCGACAGCGGCGTGGGAAGCGGCGAGTTCCGGCAAACCGGACACGACGCGTTCAGCTTCAACCACGCGTCAATACAAGTCAAGTGAAAGTAATGTCTACACTCAGGCATAATCCTAAGCATCTCCGCGTCCTTATACTCGCACAAACAGATCGGACACACTGAATCATTGCCTCCACCACCACAGTCCTTCGAGAATGGATATTTCGGGTACGAATTGATGACGGTTTGGTCGAGTCCGACGACGGCGTTCTCGTTGCTCTCATTGTCATCGTCGTCTTCGGCAACGAAGATTATGCGGGGGAGGACGATGCCGTGTTCGGAGCCGTTGGAATTGCGGTTAGGGTTTTGGAGAGAGTGGTGATGGCGGTGACGGGTGGCGCGACAGCAGATGTAGGAGGCTAAGAGGACGGTGGAGAGGAGGACGAGGAAGCCGAGGGCGATGGCGATAGCGTAGCCGAGGCCGATGTTGGTCAGGTTTTGGGTGATGACACTGGCGGGTGGGGGTACGCCGCCGGTGGCGGTGGTGATGGTCGCAGCAGAAGTGCTGCTGGTGGAGGAGGTGTAGGACATTGGGAGGGGAGTGGGGTGGTGGGGTTTTCCATTTGTTAGTGGGAGGAGAGAGAGAGGGGGAATAGGGGTCAGATTTTTTTTTCTTTTTTTTTTTTTTTTTCTCGGGAAGGTGGGTGGGTATTCCAGCTACTGCATTTAATACTTAGCTTTCGAAACAGAGATGGTCATTAATGATTATTTGGGCTTCCCTTTGGGCCTACTTTTGGATTTTGATATTATCCAATTGGGCAGTGTAAGGCCTGTAAGCTAAATCTTGGTTAATAAAGCACAGCTATTTTAAAATCATATATATATATATCGAAGAGGAAATTTTTTAATGCCCAAGAGATACCTATGTAGTACTCCACGCAATAAAAAAAACTCACAATTTCTCTTAATAATAATAAAAGATGACAATTCATGATTCATGGAGATACCTACTCAATACATGTTTGTGTATGGAGCTGCAACAATGGGCTGTTCTGTGTCTACATCTAACGAATAATTATTAAACCATATTGCCGTCAATTGCCGCTGCTTATATATAAAACTATCCCCATCTGCCCCACCTGAAAATGGAATGGCCTATTTTTTTCAATGGGCAATTAATGTCACATAAAATGATGGAAAATTACAGATTTAACTTTATTTTTATTATTATTATTTTTTTTATAAACAGATTTGACTTAATTTTAATGCAAAATTCATTTCTGATTTTGACATAAAATGATATCCTTTCCATTTTACAAATGCACAAAATTTTTTCCTTTCAAAATCATTTTTAGCTATATACTTTCCACTTTTTCTCTGATTAGGAGTGTATAACATTCTCTGTTTATTGCAGGTGGATTTGAGACACCCATCAAGAATTGCGATAATTTAATTCGAGTTTGAAGAGTCCTTCAATATAGAAGTAAGATAGAAATGCAATGACCATAGTTTTAGAAAATTACGTACACTAATTCTATGTTTGATTGAAAGAAAGAATTGAGTAAGGATGAAATAAGAGGGATAGATAAAGTTTTATGTGTTTGATTAGAAGGGTGGGAAGAAAGTGAGAAAGTAAGGAGTAATAAAACATCTTTCTTAATCATACTTTTAGAAAGTTTTTTTTTATTATATTAAAATTGGGCAAAAGAAGAAGGAAATGAAGAGACGCTATCCTACAAATATATAACACAAATTTTAACCTTTACTTTCAAAATTACTTGTTAAACCCTTCTTTCACACATATAATGAATATTGGTAAAAATATATAAAAGTTCTCATGCCTTCCTTCTAACCAAATAAAAAAAAAAAAAAATGTCACTTCATTTTTCATTTTTACTTTTCCTTCAATTTAACTAAACAAAAAATAAGAGATATATTCCTTTCTCTATGGGATGTCTAATCACAATTCCTTCATTTCACTTCTCCCTACTAACAATTTTTGGTGTCATTGGAAAAAAAAAATTAAAAGTCATCGAGTTGAACATATTGGTGACCACTGACATCCTAAAAAGGTTGTTAGTTTTTATTTTGAGGAGAAATTTCACATATACCCAATAACTTAATATAAAGTCATATGCTCATATTTATTATTATATATTCAATTTACACACACAAGCATGCGTATACACACACACACATATATATTTTGATTCTAGGTCAAAAGTTCACATGAATTATGGGTCTTTGATTTTGCCACGCTTTAGGGGAATTGGTCAATGAACCTCCTTAATTATAAAAATGGGTTCGGCATTGCAGTTGCCTACCTAAACTTTATGTTAAATAAACACACGAAAGCAACGTGCTTCAAGAAATAATTTCAAACAATGAGAAGATGATGCGTTCTAGAAGCCTACATCACAAAGGAAAATATCTATTGGAGCTTGTCTTTTTACTCTGTTTTTTGTTCCTTTTTGACACCTCTCTCTCTCTTTCTCTCTCTCTCTCTCTCTCTCTCTCTATATATATATATATATATAAACACACACTGAGAGTGAGTATTATAGATTCCTTTGACTAGTGTAAAATTATCCCCCTTTTCAAATTTTATTGTAAAAACAACTTAATTAATCAAGTTGGGTGGATTGATCCAATCACTAATTAAGTGTTCTTTGAATAAAGGAACCGGTGGCTTTGATGCCTCAAGTATACATCGTCGATTGGACATATATATAAATATATATACATAGAAAAGGTGATAAAACCAAATTCTAAAGAATTTTTTTGGGTAAATAATTGGGATTAAATAGAAAAAAAAAAAAAAAAAATGTTGCACTTAAAATCTGTCTTCAATACGTCTACCTTTCATTTCATATAGAGGTAATCATGTCACGTGCTTAACATCAAAGATTCAAAGTACCTTTAGCACATAATCATACATAGTTCTATACATACAAAAATCTTATAAGGAGAGGTGTTTTACTTTTGGAACTTTAAGTTTCATGAATTTCCCAATGTTTGGGACAGACAAGATAATTAATTAAATTAAATTCAAATGAATTGGGAGTTTAGGACCACTTAAAATTGAGATAATACCAACAAAAAAAAAAAGAAGTATTGAGAAACAAAAAAGATCATATAATATAACAACCCAATATTACAAGTAGAGAAGGGGAGGAAAAGAGAGAGAGAGAGAGAGAACAATCCGGATCATATTATACATTCTAGTTAATCTCATAATCCACTAATTAAGATCACTATAAATCCACAAAAATAAAATTACAGCAATAATAATAATCAAAACCATACCCTAGAGCTTGACTTTCCTCTTGCATTTCTGTTCTTGAATTGACTGGCTGGTGATATTAATAGTCATGCTGCAATTCATCTTCACAATAACATGTTTCTTGATGATCTTCATGATAGTGACCCTCCCACCAACCCTAGTGAAGCTGGTCATAGTCAACAGCCCGGACTTATAATCACTACTCAAACTAGGGTTAGTCACGAGACTGTCCGTGATTATGTCCACTGTTACATTCATCCTCATGGTCCGTCTCGCCTTGGCCTGTCCCGGTGGCCCTCTCGCCTCTCCGATCATGGTGCCGCGATAGTACAGCGTCGTGGTGGTGTTGCTGTACTTGAACGACGCCACGTTCGGATTCTTGACCGATACGTCGGCCGTTAACGACATGTTGGAGCCCGGACGCGGCGTGGTTCCGTTGATGAGGTCGAGCTTGTCCACCGTGACACCGTTCATTTTTATGACAGGGTCCTTGACTTTGAACACGGTGAAGATCAAAATTATGACCACCACCACTTCGATGAGCAATAGGGCTGCTATGCACCCACAGCACTTGATGCATTTTTTGCGACGTAGGGCTTTTTGGTCCAGAACGGTCTCATCGTCATCGCTGCTCGGCCGCTCGCTGGCCGGGGCTAGGGGTCTGGCTTGCTCCCTCTCCACCATGGTTGGAGCTTGGAATTTTGGGGGTGGAAGCTAGAGAGGTGTTGGGTGGAGGAGGGGTGAGTGGTTTTGGGAGTTTTTGGTGTTACTTTTATATTGTTTGTGTGTGATAGTGGGGATGTTGTGCTGGTTTAATTTTCTACATATTGTTGACTTTGAAACTCTTTTATGTCTATGTACAGAGATGTATTTTCCAAGTTCTGTATCTTGACTAATGGCTCAATATCTTTTCTACATTACTATAATATATTTTTAATTTCATATTAAATTGTTCCGTCGTATTGAGGAGTTACACACATGTATGTAAATGGTGTCGCAACATCGATGTGATTGTTTGTTCCTTGAAATTTAAACATAAATTCTACACGAAATTTATAAGCAATATTATATTCGAGAAATTAACATAAGTTCTATATATATATATATATATAATTTCATGTAGAATAATGTATGGTTTATATATGTATTCATTAATTTAAAATATAAAAGTTATTGGCGAACTATTAAACTAAATTCTATATAAAAATCTAGTTGTAAAAGAAATTTTAAAGATTTTTTATTTTTCGCTGGTAAGTTCAATCATGAAATCGAATTCCATATTATAGCTGGAAAAATCAACTTGTAACCGAGTTCAAAAGTTTTTTTTTTAGATATGTTATGTCAAATGCTTACAAATGAAAGGAATTGTTAATCTATTGCATGTGAGTTTGCCCCATTTTATTTTTTTATTTTATTATTTTTTTTTTTTGGAGCTTGCATCCATCTTCTACAAATGAGGATGCTAACCGGAAACACCCAACTATATATAACGGCACTATTACCGTTTATAAATCAAGTAATTATAGATCATCGTATCGGTCGATACGTGACGTATCGGTCGGTTTATAATTATTTTTTAAAAATTCGATACCATTACATACTTTCATTAATCAGTTGATTCGGCCGGTTTATACCGATATTCGTCATAGAATGTTACACCGATATCGCGACTACAAAGCATGCATGGTCATAATATATCTCATGTAACTCTGCAAAATCAAATATGCTTGATGGTATCTCAAAGGTTTGATTTGATCACACACACATGGATTATTTAAAAAAGACAATATATTTGTATCGTTGTTGCATTCTCAATACAATGATACTGTGTTATGATGCAATGATATTAAAGAACATCGAGTCTATAATCTACATATACATGTTTAACATGATGCTATATAAATAATCTCCTCTTTTTTTCTTTTTTTTTTTCAAACTGGAATCATACAGATAAGTATCCCTAAAAATGTGGTCATTTGTTAATCACCATACTATTCTTTAATTTGTTTCACTAGTTAATCGGACACATGCCACCCACGGTACTAAGAATTATAATAAAGAATTTCTAATGAAACATTTCCTTTTTCAAATTATTCATAAAATTAATGAACTGAATGGTCCAGTCAACTAAACCTTAAAAAATAAGTATAACCAGATAAGTTGGTTTATTTCATACCTTCAGAAAATCTCTTATAAAAGTGTATTTGTTTAATTAATATCATAATAACATTTTCCTTTTTCTGTCATTGCCCATTAGTGAATTGGTCACCCAGAAAGATTGTACATGTGGTAAACCATAGACTCCGCTACTCCAACCACCACACTTAATTTAGTAACCAGACTGTCACATTTTTGTTTATATTTTTTTATATAGATTTATGATGATTTGCTTATTTCTTGCATATATACATCAGGATAATTTAATAGAAGTGAATCTTCTCTAGAATATACTCTTCTCATTTTCAAAGATCAGAAATTGATTTAAATCTTTGAACTCAATCGTGCTATTGTTTAGTTGGTAACATGGGAGAATATGATTGAAAATACAATAATAATATATGATCATAAATTTTATGATATTATAGTTTTGAATGATGGAGATGGTGTCACAAATGAACACTTGAAAATATAAATATTAATGGAGATCTAGAATGCCAGGTGTTCAAATGGCCAATAAATGCCATGTTTTCTAATGGCGAATTCAAACCGCCAAAATTAAAGCATAAACATAAGATCAATAATAGTTACAATCATAAAAAAAAAGAGGCATGCACTCTATTTGAATATATAAGATCATTTGAATATTGAATATGGAAGATGCTATATATGTCACTCTCTGCAACATTCATGTACTTTCATTGGATCTATAAATACAATGATAAAGATTTAAATTGATAAATTTGTTTAAATATGATAATAACAAATTGTTTAAACAATAATCTATTAAAGGGTAATTTTGTCAGAAAAATTGTTTCAAAAATCACTTAAACAAACATCAGTTAAAAACACTCCATTGGGATAGTCGAGGGGGATTTTTTTACAAAAAATATTCATAAGGGACTTTTTTTGCAACTGGGTAATAGTCAATGGGGTTTTTTTTAGCAATTTACCCTAAAATGTAAGTGAAAATGGAATGAAGATGGAAATGTAATGAAATGACCATTCTCATTATATTGTTTGGTTGCAAATATAAAACGTATAGGAATGAAATGATAATAATCATTCTAATCTTTGGTTGGATCAATGAAAAATTTAGAAGGAAAATGATTCTTGCACAAATTTGTTGTAGTGAATTGTTAGATCTACTTATTTTAATTAGTTCATCTATGCAACAAATAAGGGAGTAAGACCTTTCACTTACTTGTACTGTGCATAAATAACCAATCAGAAACTTCTGGTTAGACATTTCACTACAATAAATCAGTGTAAGTATCACTACTCTATTGAGAATGGAATGAGTTTTTAATTAAATTCTCCAAAATACATATTTTAGTGACGAATAAATTAAAATAACAAAATAACATTCTTCTATAATTTTTTTTTAAAAAAAGAAATGGTGGTGGTGGTAGATGGCAGTGACGATGGTGGTGTAGGCAGAAAGCAATAGTAGTGTAGGTGGTGGCATTGGAAGGCAGCGGTAAAAAGCAATAGTGGTGTTGGTAGAAGGTGGTAGTAGTGGCAGTGGCAGTGGTGGTGGAAGTGTAGTGATAATGGTGAAAGGCAGTGGTGTGGTGGTGGTGGAAGACGGCGAGAGTTGTGGAGGTGACGATGGTGGTGGTGGTGGAAGGTAGTGGCAGTGGTAGTAGAGGTAAAGGTGGCAATGGTAGAAGGTGGTGGAGGTGGCGGCGATGGTGGAAGAGGCAATGGTAGAGACGAGGTGTAGTGGTGGTGGAAGGCTGCGACGGTGGTGACAGTGATGGAAGGTGGCAGTGGTGGCGGTGGTGACGGTGATGGTGGCAGTGGTGGCGGTGGTGACGGTGATGGTGGTGATTGTCGAATATGGTAGTGGTGGAAGTTGGTGGTGGTGGTGGTGACGGTGGGGGTGGCGGCGGCGGCGGAAGACAGTAGAGGCGACGACAATGTGGTGATTGAAGGGGACAACAATGGTAGTGATAGTGGTGGAAGGCAATAGAGGTGGTGGTGGTAAAAAGAGGCGGTGGTTTTGGTGAAAGGTAGTGGTAGTGGTGGTAGAAGACAATGACAGTAGTGACAGAGATGCTGATGATTTTTTAACTTGGAATATGAGAGTTTTTTGAGAATTTAATTTTTTTAAAAAATTTACTTGGGAATGAAATGACCATTTTATATGTTTAAAATGAATTTTCATTCCAATAAAATGATCATCTTCACTTTAAATTACATACCAAATAAATAAAATATTAAAATGAACATTTCATTTCTACACACCAAAAACAACATAATAGTTAAATAAGAAAATTTCAGGTCTCTTATTCCAGTAAAGCTGTGATAGCATTATTTGAAATTTAATTATATATGGTCCACATTCAGACAAGAAAATATTATGAGGCCATTTAGTGAAGGTGTATTATTAGGCCATTTAGTGAATGTGTACATACATATACCTATGTATTGTGTAGTCGACTTTGAAACGTCTTAAAGTCTTTCCACTCAATTAAATGGGTGAAAATGTTAGTTAGTGGTTGGTGGTATGGTTAACTGTAACGGCAATTATGATGGTAGCGATTAAAGGCATCGACAAATTTGACCATTCTATGAACACATGCTAGTATGTTACACTTTTCGTTTTCATACTAAGTCGTGTTAACTAATTAAAGATTTTTTGGGGTCATTTTAGTTTTTCAAAATATCATAAGGGAAAGACCCTAACTCAATTAGCATCAGAGTCAATATTGCTGGCTACTTAGAAAAATTAATTAAAGATTTCTTAATGTGTCAAAATTCTCTAAGCTAATAATTCGTGTAAAAAATTAGTCGTATTGGATGCACCTAACTACGATTGCTTAGTCCCGTTCAAATTTGAGTTAGGTTTCACAAGGAGACTTAGATTATTTTCAGCATGGAAGAAGTTCGGCACTCCATAAAAAATAGAGATGACGTACATCACCTCTTGATGATAATACGTTGTTCATTATTAATGAATTTCATTTAGTGATTCAATCTTGACTACAAAATCTTAGTAAATCTTATCCACCAATTTAATCTCAACTACATGATTCTCTTTAGCCTTTTCTATAACTGGGAGAGGATCCATGAACTTCACAACGAGAGGCTTCTAATTGCAAAAATATTAATAATGTGTAAGCTTATATGAGTGCAACATGCTGTAATTTGAACAAGATAAACGTTAATATTAATTAAAAAAAAAAAAAAAAAAAGTCAACTTTTTTGAATATTTTGATAGGAGGAAGTCGCCATGAAACATGCTAGTTTTATTTTTTCTTCAATGAGTTTGCTAAATTTGACTATACCAATATGGTGTTCCCACTGAATGATGTGACATATAAATATATTATATATATACATGTATGTATATATAAATTATATAATACACCCTTACAGTTATACTATTGAGTCCTGCTTGTCGATTTCGGATGAATTATTATTTGCCTTGCAAATATTGGTCATGGGCCATATTGACACACAAATATGTCAATTTTATATCACTTTTTTTGTATGTTAGAAAAAATAAAAATAAATTTGTAATAATAATAATAATCTCTTTTTATTTATTTATTTATATGTCAACATATAATTGGCTTGGGACCAAAGGCAGCATGTAATAATTTCTTCCAATTTTACCCTTTTATGGATATAAGCTATATATTGTCAAATATATGAGGTTTAACTGATTTGGTTGTTCATCACAATGGACTATATATAATTCGATTAATTAGATAATTCTATCCATTGAATTCAAATAAATTTTTTGTCAAGATCAACGTGTATATATGCTAATCGCTTGGTCAATAGACATTTGGATTTTTGGTACACTCGGTGTGGCTGTGTGAAAATTCATTCCACGGTGGGACAGAGTTGATGAATATAAAGTTTGCGTGTGAACGGTAAGAATCCATAAATTCGATTAAAACAAAAAACACTAATTACAAGTTTGGATATATGAGATAAAGAGTACATATTTTAATATTTTAAATATGCAAAGTGTTTCAATATTTCAGTATTTATTTATTAATATAAAAAAATATTTATTAATTGATATAAAAATTACCTAATAAAATTTAAATTATCTATTTATCTATTTGTTTCTAAAAAAATTTATACTATTATTAAAAGAGTTTCTATAAGACTCCAACACGAAATAAAAAAAATATTTATTAAAAATTACCTATTTGTCTATTTGTTTCTAAAATTACCACTTTCAAATTACCTAATAAATCTATTTTGTGTTAGAGTTTTATAGAAAATAGATTTATTAGGTAATTTGTAATTTGAATTTTATTAGATAATTTGAAAGTGGTGATTGATTTTATTAGGTAATTTTTAGAATTTTATGGAAATAATTAAAAATTAAATAGGAAATTGTTTACAAATCATTAAATAAATTAATAATTAAAATTAAATAGGTAATTGTTTAATTGAAATTCAATCAATATGTTTCAAATCATTTATATATATAATAATAAAATAATTATCAAATAATAAAATAAGTTACCAATTAAAATAAATCCTATAAGTTACCAAATAAAATAAACAAGTTAATTGTTAAAATAAAATAGGTAATTATTTAATAAAATAATTTATCAAATAATAAAATAACTTACCAATTAAAATTAAATAGAAAATTATTTAATTGAAATTCAATAAAGATGTTTCAAATCAGTATATAAATTACCAATTAAAATTAAATAGGTAATTGTTTAATTGAAAATTTTTTCTATTTGTTTCTAAAATCACCACTTTCAAATTAACTAATAAAATTAAAATTATCTAAAAATTTATTACTAAATTATATATATGTATATATAAATTTTTTAAATATTACCTAATAAAATTCAAATTACAAATTACCTAAAAGAATTTATTCCTTTGCAAAACTCAAACTTTACCACCAATTTCAGTATTAAAATAAAAATAATTTCTTAATTAATAAAAAAATAAAATATAAATATTTTAGTATTAATATAAAAACTTAAAAGAATTTATTACTTTACAAAATTCAAACTCTTCCACCAATTTCAAAATATTTTAGTATTTATTTATTAATATATAAAAATATTTATTAATTAATTTTTAAAAGAGTTACAAAAAAATTGTAGATTTTTTGTAAGGTTTATTGTTACAAGTTTCAAATCAATAACAAAAAAAAAAAAAAAAAATAAATAAATAATTTAATAAGTTACAAAATATTCACCACGTATTTCGCACGTGCCTTTTCCTAATATATATATATATATATATATATAGAGGTTATACTTTCTAATCACCACCATAATAGATTTTTAATAATTGAAGCTCTAAAACATGCTTTGCTTCGCAATCACATAAAAGTGTTGAAATGGGCACTATAATATGTGAATGTAAGATTGAGTAATATGAAAGGATTAGGGTCGCACTGCAAACTGATGTTACGTTTGGGAGCATAATATTGGTTCCTTAAATTTGAAATTGAAATTTTTTTGACATCGATTCTGTGCTTCTAAGCATAGTATTTGTAATATGTATTTTTCATTAAAGAGTTTCATATTAGATTGTCGATCGACCTAAGCATCAAGGGAGCAGAGAAATTGAACCCATGCCAGCTGGCCTCATTTGAGAGCAATATATACTCACCGTTGTATTATAATTTTGTAAATCTTGTTTTGAAACAAGAACGTACATGTTATGGTTCAAACTCCACTATTCTGTCTCCCCAATTTAATTCATAGTACTAGTTTATCAACTTTGTGCTAGATTAATTTCTAGAATCAAATTAGTGATATTAAAAGGATACATCATATGGTTTTTTTTTTTTGTTTTCCTAATTAATAAATTAAGTGTACAGGGAGCCTGAGTGACAGAAAATAGGGTTGGTAATAAAGGACGTGCGACAAATTATAAACTAATATATATATATATATATTAGTTTATAATTTGTCTCCGACTTTTTTTTGTGTCCCCAAAAAAATATATATGTATAAAATGTAACTCACAAAATAGTGACAGCTGCTCATTCAGTTATTATCAGTTGAAAAATAGAAAATGAATAAAATAATTTTATTCAAATACAACAAACTCAATCTACATGTACATGTATATCTTTCTTTATTTCAGCTTTTAAAAAAATAAAATAAAATCTCAAATAAAGAATATATCGCTAGCAGCTCAATTCCTGAATTGCCCCACTCGTCAAATTAACTGCCATAGTGCAGTTCATTCTTACTGTTTTGCGTTTCTTCATCACCTTCATCAAATGCACCTTACCGGTCAACGTAGCTTGACTGTTAAACCACAAGATCCCCGAACTGATACCACTTGAAGCATCGGAAACTCCATTAGAGCTAACTTCCATTGTCACATTTACCCTTCTCGTCTTCTTCGCCTTCGCTTTACCCTTGGGTATCGAGCCCGTACCAACAATAGCACCACCATAAGTTACATTCATGGGGGCACTGTCATACTTGTAATCTCCGAAATTCTTGTTTTTGATCCTCACTTCGGCTATGAGAGTCATGTTATAGGCCGAAGAGTCCCGGTTGAGATTTTGAACAGTGACCGTCTGGATTTTCACATTAGGAGTTTTAACACGCATTACGGTTAATGCAAAAATCAAGATTACAATAGTCTGAAACACGACGAAGGCCGCGATGTACATGAAAAGCTTCATCCTCTTCTTTCTACGAAGCTCTTGTTCGGATTCTGACCAGGCGGATTCTGCGTCGCTTCGTGGGTGGACACTCGGTGGAGCTAAGGGGTACACTTGTTGGTTTTTCTCGTGATCCATTGTTTGTTTTGTGAATCAGACTTTGCTTCTTTTTACGCTATTTTGAAAGGCAGAAAGGGTGAGAAATGAAGAAGCTTTGTAAGCTTAAAATGGGTTTGCGAGAGACGAAAAGAGATGGTTTGGAATGGAATTTTTTGGGGTATGATATGTTATGTATTTATAGTGTGTCGCTGAAAGTTATGGGGCGTGTTGAATTGTATTAGTAGGAATACTTTTCTCGAGTCCGTACGTTGTGGTTCGTTTGATATTAGCCGGCTTTGCTTTAACGTGTGGAATGTAATATTGTATAGGTATAAGTCAATAAGAGAAGCTTCTAATGGGTCCTATGTAGACAATTCTTGGGACTGCCCTTCACTCGGTTGCTTTCCAATGGGTCCCGTCTAGGTGGTTTGGAAATTTCTAGTGAATCGGAATATAATTGCCAATGAAATACCCAAATAAAAATAAAACGAGAATTGATATTATCAAAGATTCATAGCCTGTTAAATCTACATGGTAACAATCAGATTTTCATAAACCAACTATAAAGCCAAAGGAAAAAAAAAAAAAAAAAAAAAAGAAAAAAATTAGAGATTTCAACGCTATTATTTTAAGTTTTAACATAATTATTTGGATTTTTTTTTCCTTGATGCTATAATAGAGACTTGGATGCTATTATTTCAAGTTTTAACATAATTATTTGGATTTTTTTTTTCCCTTGATGCTATAATAGAGACTTGGATGCTATTATTTCAAGTCTGTAATTAATTATATTGAATCATGATTTACAGTGTTCATGGCATCTATAAGATGGTTCGCCGTATTGATTATACCGTGCGATTCATAACCCCTTTTCAAGAGTTCGAAACTATTATACAATTTTATGAATGGATTGATTCAGTCAGTTTAAATCGATATTTGATTATTATCTTTACTTAGAGTGGAGTCCACTAGGCTCAATTTGGGTCCCACTAAGGTGGTCTTGGGCCCACTTTTGTTGACTCAAATTGATCTCTTCTCATCAATCTAGTAGTCTAGCCAAAATTGCAACTCAGATTGCGATGGTTCTTGCTATCCCGGCCAAGAAACCAAAGTCGGGGAAGACGGGAGATATTGGTATGATGGGCTGGAAAAGATGGATCTATGGGGGCTGGATCGCCCATCTCATTCGAGCCATGTTGTTACTAGCTATCATGATGGTATTTAGACCGCATGGGTAGCCCCACTCGGTGCCTCCATACATAGCGCAGCCGAGTTAGTAAAATTTAGGATTAATTCTATAAAACCCTCACTATTTTTTAATTTTTATCATAAACTTTTGAGATGAGTTAGTAAAATTTTGAAAATTTATGATTAAAATTTAAAAATAATGAGAATTTTATAAAATTAGACCCAAAATTTATAAGGTTTTCAATAGTCATTTTCATATTTTTGGTATTGCATACTTGGTGTGGCTGTGTTAAATTCATTCGGTGGTGGGACAAAGTAGATCAAGAAGATACAGTTGAGTGTGAATGCCTGAATAGTACCAATCCATAAAGTCTATTTTTTTAAAATAAAAAATAAAAAAATACACCCATTTCAAGTTTAGAAACATGAGATAAAGAATAAATATATCAATATATATACACACATATATAATAAACAACATTGGCTCCTTATATTAGAAATTCTTCGAGGCTATTTTGACTCATACATGGTACTCGAGAAAAAAAAAAAAAAAAAAAAAAAAAAGACTCAAACATGGTACCCTTCCAATCAAACTTACCCAAAATAATAATAACAATAAAAAAAATAATAATAATAATAATAAATGGCTAGCAACTCCAATCTTGAAATGTCCTACTCGTCAAATTAAGTGCCATAGTGCAATTCATTCTTGCTGGCCTGTGTTTCTTTTTCACCTTCATCACATGCACCGTACCATTCAACGTAGTTTTACTGTTAAACCTCCATATCCCCGAACTTATGTTACTCGAGGCATCAGGAACTCCATTAACTTCCATTGTCACATTCACTCTTCTCGTCCTCTGCGTCTTAGCATTACCCTTCGGTATAAAACCAGTACCAACAATCACATCACCATGGGTTACATTCATCGCCGCACCGTCGTACTTGTAATCCCCAAAATTCTTGTTTCTGACCGTGACTTCGACTATGAGAGTCATGTTATAGGATGAAGAGAGCACGCTGAGATTGAACTGTGACGGACCTAATGCCAACCTTAGGAGTTGTAACACGAGCTACAATCAATACAAAAATCAAGATTATCATAGCCTGAAACATGGTAAAGGCCGCGATGTACATGAAAAGCTTCATCATCTTCTTTCTAGGAAGCTCTCTGGATTCTGACATGGCGGATTTCGCGTCGCTTCGTGTGTAGACACCGAGTGGAGTTAAGGGGTACGCTTGTTGATTTTTCTCGTGTTCCATCATTGTTTTGATTTGTGAACGGACTTTTTTAGAACAAGTCTGAATCAAATAGCGGTGATTCCAAACACTTTTTTTTTACACTATTTCGAAAACTCAGGTGAGATACGAAAAAGCCTTGTAAGCCAAAAATGGATTTGCATGCGGGAGAGAAAAAAAACAAAACAGATGGTTTGGAATGAATTTTTTTGGGTAGGACATGTTGTGTGTGTGTGTGTGTGTTATAGGGCGTGCTGAATCATATTACGAGTACTTTTCTTGTCCATCCGTTGAAGTTTCGTTTGATATTTGCCGCCTTTGTTTTAAGGTGTAGAAAGTAATATTGTGTGGTTTAAGTCTATAATAAGATAAGCTTCTAATGGGTCCCACGCAGACAATTCTTAGGACAGATTCACTCGGTTGCTTTCTTGCTTCGTGGTTTGGAAATTTATAGTGTGAGTTGGAATATAATTGCCCAAGAAATACCCAAAAAAAAAAATTCATAGCCCTGTTTAAATCTGCAGGCTAACAATCAGATTTCATAAATAAATAAAATCTGAGAAAGCAAGTCACTTTAATGATACTCTCATACAGGATGGAGTCAGAAATTAAATTCAGGAGTATAGTGTAAAAAAAAAAAAGTGAATTGGCTTTTTTTAAAGAAAATTAAATGAATTTAAAAAGTAAAAAAACAGAAATACAAAATTTAAAAGATAATTTAGAAAATAAAATTTTTTGGGTCACATTATATGAATTTAGTAACTTTTTTACACGGCACATCAACATATTTCCAAAAATTATGTGGAGTCATGATAGTGGTGGATTGTTATTGAGGGATATATACAAAAGGTATAAAACAAGAACTAAAAATAAATAATTTAATATCTTTTATGTAAATCAATTATGACACATCAAATTTATACAAATATATATATATATATACACACACACAAAAAGGTTGATGCTCTAAAAGAGTTAATCTCTCCATCAATAGATTCAGTGAAAAACCTCCTCATAATAGTGTTTGCCTTTTCTAAAATGAAAATTAATTCATTTTGGAAATAATTCCCCCTCTTTTTAAGTAATACAATCTTTAACGAAAATAAGCCATCGGTTTTAGTTGGAAACTCTCTGAAGTGACTAAAAAAAAAGGATGTAAAGAGTCATCGATCTGTGCAATTTATTAATTCTAAATTCATAATTCCTATAAATGTGACTCATTTTATTTTTCATTTCCCTTTCGTGAAATTAGCTGGATGTAATATGGGTTTTGAGATGCCACTGGGCCTGAGATTTAGCCCAGCTTTGGCTGCTTACCTTGGTGGTGATTGATTAGGCAGAGAATAACAAAATATGCTCAAAATGTTCATCAAGATTAAATTTAAACCCATCGAGATTAAAATTTAAACCCATCATACTCCAAGAAGCAGCATAGTCATCTTGAGAAATTCCAGCATAGTCATCTTGAGAAATTATTACACGATTTCAGATCGAACTTATCATTAGCACATACCCAAGGAAATATATCAATTTTGTTCAACTTTTTACTTACACGTCATTGATAAGGAACAATAGTCCTCTTAGAAGGATGTAATAATTTCTCAAGCATTTTAGGAGTTGAACCCGAAGCTACTAACTAATCCCCAAACTTGAACTTATTCCAACTCGGCTATTTGCAATCCTAGTACTCATTTGCAATCCTAGTTACAAACAACAGTTTCAGATCAATTTTAGAATGCAATAATGTACTCTGTCTAGGCTGAACCATCCCTAATTTGTCCCAATTTCATCTATTGTTAAAAATGTAACCAGACTTTATCAAATTCCTTAAACACTAAATTGACGGTGTTCAATGCTCATTATAGATAATAAACATAAGAACATAAATACTTGTTGATTGATCACAAACAGGACTTGAAACAGATCCTATAATCTCATATATGGATTCAAAATTCCTCAAACGCCCTGGCTATTTTTATTGTACACATCATTCAAGCGAGACCACAGGTAGAAATTAAGACATTAACAACCAAGTTTTACCTGAGAGAAATGTAAATGGTTTCAGTTACTAAGTAAACAAGTCGGAGAGAGTAGGGAGCTTGACCGCGCCCTTGTTGGAGAAAGGAATGGTGAAATCTCCGATCACCGGAAGGTCGATGGTGAGACGCAATTCCAACTCATAGTCGATGTCCCAATCCGCACCTATGTCTTTCACCAAGGTCACCAACACATCGTGTGGCACCTCCAATAGCACGTCCAACATTGTCGTCTCATTCCCATTCAGGGACCCCGGATCCGGCATTGTTCCAGATGCAATCTCCCTTCATCACAACCACATTGAAAACACAATTTAGAGTATATAACACATCAAGATGGAGACAAACATATGTATTATTTTATATATAAATATATATATATATATAGCTAGAGAGAGAATATTTGAGAGAGAGGAAAGATTAAGGAGATGGATGGAAACAGAACTAACCTGCCGTTACTTTTGAGGGAGTAAGAGAGCTGGCAAATGGGAATGGAAACACTGTAGGGATTGGTAACGGAGACCTTAGCTTGGTAGGTGATGCACTCGCGGCTCAAGTCTTTCAGATCCACGTCGATCACCTCAGCCTCCGGCTTCGCCACGACGCCCAATTTCTCCGCCACGAAGTTCTTCGCCTTGTCTAGCAAACTAGCCATCGTCGATCTTCTACCCACCCGAAATACCAAATCTAGTGAGAGAAAGAGAGAGAGAGAGAGGAGTGTATTTTCTTCTTTTTAGAGAGAGAGAGAGAGAGGAGGGAGACTGTATGAAGGAAAAGTCTAGTGCTGGCTGGTTTCATATAGAAGGCGAATTGGGGTTTAATGAGACGCGGAGGCTGTTCAATTTCTCGAGTCGAACACGTGTTATACACGTGATGGGTTTCCTTAAAGTCGCCGCGTTCCAAGATCTGCTGTCTTCGTAGTACTTATGTATGTACAAAAATAAAAATAAAAAAATAATATTTTAAATTTTTATAAAATAATGCTAATTGCAGTCGAGCATATTTTTGGTTACCTTATTTATGAGATGTCTCTTATTTTTATAGAAATTAGAAATATAAATTTTTAAGACAAACTTATCTTTAACCTTTTTTTATCTCTCTTCTTTTATTTTCCTTTTCTTAGTTTTATCCCTTATATCAATAACATTATTTATATATATATATATATATATATATATATATATATATATATGAATTCACGTTTAAGTTTTATAATCACAATTCATATTATTTTCTTTCTTTTTGAATTTGCCAAAATAATATTATGAGAATTGATTATTTTCTTTTCTTTTTTAAAATTATATTTTAACTGTATATATACATGCTATATATTGATAGCAAGTGATATATATATATATATATACATATATATTATATATTATATATTATATATATTCATGTACATCAATTAAGTGAGGAAAAAAAAATATATGAATTGTGATTATAGGATAAAACGTAAATCCCTATATGGCGCATATATATATATATATATATATATATATATATATATATATATATATAGTTAAAATATAATTAAAAATGGAAATAAAATAATTCATTCCAATAATATTATTTATTTTAGCAATCCAAAAAGAAAGAAAATAATATATTCTTTTTTTGTTTTTTTGGCAATGAATGTTATTGATCTAATGGATAAAACTAAGGAGAGGAGAATAAAAGGACATAAGATAAGAAAATGTTAAAGGATAATTTTGTATTAAAAATTTATATTTTTAATTTTCATACGGTGCGATTATAAGGAATGTGATCAATAAGAAGAGCGACTGTGGAAAGACAATTGTGATCAATTAAAAGTGTGATTGTGAAAAGACAGTTGCGAGCGCGACTGCAACTAAACTTTCCACTATTTTGAATTATTACCCTATCTCTATTTTAAATCAACGTAACAAAATCACTATTGCCATTAATTTTACAAACTGACTTAAAAAATTTAAAAATAGTTAAGAGTTGGGTATAATTTATTGACCAAACCATTCATCATTGATTATTTATAATATATAAGGAAGTGAGGATCTCTCTTCCTTATATTTTATGTAAAAAAAAAATTAATTTTAAAATCATTTTCAAATAGTTATTTGTTAATATGATAAGTTTTTTTTTTATTATTATTGTTATTTTTTACTATGAAGATACTCTTATTCAGCTGTAAAAAGATAACCATACCCTTGAAAGATATTTTAAACTTTTAAAATTAAATGAATTATTTTATTAAGCACATGTAATTAGAAATTTATAAGATTAGTGTAATTTGTCTGCTTCGTTTTCAGTTAATGTACCTGAAGTGATCAACTTAAGACTCTTTAAAGGTATAAATGAGAATGTAATTTGAGTCTACCTCCGTCCCAATTTAAGCAATTTTTCTTAATGTGACCTTTCTGTAAACAATAGTTATTGAAAAATCAGTATTTTCAGTTGAACGATATATTAAATATTTAAAATTAAAATGAATTATTTTATTAAACACCATGTAGTTAGAAATTTATAAGATAACTGTAATTTACTTTTTCTATCCCTTTCTTAAAAGGCAAAAGATAATATTGTTAAAACTTTTTGCTTGCATATCAACTAATGATTGATCGTGAACAATGGTATGTCAAAGCGCATGTAATAATTTCTCCAATATTTATTAATGATTGATAAGAAACAATGGTCCTCCTGGAAGCATGTAATCTTTTTTGATGTAAAAAATTTTCAGGCATTTTAGGAGTTGAACCCGAAGTTACTAACTAATCCCCAAACTTCCAACTCGGCTATTTGCAATCCTAGGACTCTCGACTTTAGTTCATTTGCAATCCTAGTTACAAACAACAGTTCCAACATCAATTTTAGAATGTAATAAAGTAATAATTTCTATTTGTGTTTGAATAGGTAAAGAAAAAATGAAAAAAAATAATAACTTTTCTTGTTTGGATAAGATAGAAGAGAAAAAAGAAAGAAAAAGATAATAGATAAATTACTTTTTTTACCCTTTCATAACCATAGAAGGTGAATGAAATAATAAATTTATATATTGATTTGTGGAGGCTAATTTTAGTATTATCAAAATATCACTTAAAATCTTAAAATCACTATAATTTCAATTTCTCTCCCGGTCTTCTCTCAAAATGGAAGAGAAAGCAAATAAGAGACAGGGAGGGATGCTATCCCAGCATCCCTCCCTGTTTCTCCACTTAACTTACCCAAACACAAACTTACACTACCCTTCTTTTCTCTCCCTATCCCTCCAAATCAACCCTGCCAAACACACCCTTAAACATACCTGGTGTTCAATGCTCATTATAGATAATAAACACGCACAATCCAATGAAGATAAGAACATAAATACTCGTTGATTGATCACAAACAGACAAACAGGAGCTGCAATAGATCCTATAATCTCATATATGGATTCAAAATCCCTCAAACGCCCTGGTTATTTTTATTATGCACATTATTTATAGATCAAGCAAGAAGTACAAATTAAGACATTAACAAGGCAAATTTTACATGAGAGAAATCTAGATGGTTTCAGTCACTAAGTAAACAAGTCGGAGAGGGTAGGAAGCTTGACGGCGCCCTTCTTGTTCAGAGGAATGGTGAATTCTCCGATCACCGGAAGGTCCATGGTGAGACGCAATTCCAACTCATAGTCGATGTCCCAATCCGCACCTATGTCTTTCACCAAGGTCGCCAACACATTGTGTGGCACCTCCAATAGCACGTCCAACACTGTCGTCTCATTCCCATTCAGCGATCCTGGATCCGGCATTGTTCCAGATGCAATCTCCCTGCACCACAACCACATAGAAATAGATTTAATTATATAATTCTTTTTTCCATATATTTGTTAGCTCTTTACAAATTGGATTTTAAAATTCAAGTGCAATGAGTAATCAGACACTATAAAATCTTCTAAAATTACATTAATTTTAATTGCCGTATAAGTTATTGTTATTAGGTGAAGTCCATCAAGTATTTATGGTATAAAATAGTTTGCCCAAAATTGATGATTATTTTTATTAAATTTTAATATATATTTTTTCAATCAAGCCCTTAATCAAGTATATATTTTTTATAAAATAAACAAAAAATATAATGACAAATAATATACATTCAATTATTAATTTTATTGCATCTGAATCTTTGGCGTGTTGTATGCTTTCAATGCAATTAAATGAGAGTAATGGTGTTGAAATCACCATTATTTTTAATATTAACATTATTATAACATTATTATTTTTAGAGGTGTACTACACACACACTCTATTTAATAAACATAAAACAAATGAAGATGGAGACAAACATATGTATTATTTTATACTCCGTATATATATATATAGAGAGAGAGAGAGAGAGAGAGAATATTTGAGAGAGATAGGAAAGATTAAGAAGACGGATGGAAACAGAACTAACCTGCCGGTACTTTTGAAGGAGTAAGAGAGCTTGCAAATGGGAATGGAAACACTGTAGGGATTGGTAACGGACACCTTAGCGTGGTAGGATATGCACTCGCGGCTCACGTCTTTCAGATCCACGTCGAGCACCTCAGCCTCCGGCTTCGCCACGTCACCCAATTTCTCCGCCACGAAGTTCTTCGCCTTGCCTAGCAAACTCGCCATAGTCGATCTTCTAGCGACCCGAAATACCAAATCTAGTCAGAGAAAGAGAGAGAGGAGTGTAATTTCTTCTTTTTAGAGAGAGAGAAGGAAGACTGTATGAAGGAAAAGCCTAGTGCTGGCTGGTTTCATATAGAAGGCGGCGAATTGGGGTTAATGGAGACGTGGAGAGGCTGTTCAATTCTCGAGTCGAACACGTGTTATACACGTGAAGTCCAAGATCCGCTGTCCACGTAGTACTTATCTTTACAAAAATAAAAAATATCTTTACAAAAAGGCAAAAAAAATAATATTTTAAATTTTTATAAAGCACCCCATATCATAAGCACACGTAATTTGAAATTTATAAGATAAGCGTAATTTGTCTGCTTCATTTTCAGTTAATGTACCTGAAGTGATCAAACTTCTTTTTTGAAGACTCTTTAAAGGTATAGATGATAATGTAATTCGAGTCCCTTGAGTCATATAATACAAGTGAGAGTTTCTCAGGTTTTTAAGCAATTTTTCTTAATGCGACCTCTCTCTAAACTATTGAAAAATCACTACTTTCAGTTGAAAGATATGTTAAATATTTAAAATTAAAATGAATTATTTTATTAAACACATGTAATTAGAAACTTATAAGATAAGTGTAATTTACTTTTTATATTCCTTTCTTAAAAGGCAAAAGATATTATTGTTAAACTTATCCTTACATATAAGCTCTCTCGTGTCTCATGTTTCAATACCGACGGTGACAAGGTCGATTGGTAGGGCATCCCGTGTGCACACGACCTGCTTAATTCTCTCTTTATGTCTGTCGGCCATAGGTTAGATATTTTTCAATGCGAATATATTACAATTTTAGATATTTTTTTTAACCCCATGAATTTTAGATATATATTTTTTAAAACCATGAATTTTAGATTCAGAAGTAATAATCTGACACCGACTATGGAAATTGTGATGCTTGGTCAAAGGGTTTGTAGGCCCAACATGCTGAGTACATATATAATAGATCCGGCCGACGTGTTATGTCATTAATATATCCATTCAAGGATAATATATTAATTAATAAAAAATTGACCCTCCAACTTATAAGATTGTTAATAACGAAATAATACGTTACTTGTATACTTTATTAATATACCTATGACGTGTCTGTCCACCCAATAGAGATATTTGGTTGGGTTCAATTATTGAAAGTTAGAAAGTCAACGAGAACCATATCCACCTTTTATCTTTCGGTATGGGCCAGGATTTCTGGTTCTTCTTTTTGTTGTGGGCTTTTTAATCTTAGAAAGCAACTTCTTCAGATCCACAACCTGTAATAATGAATAAAGAAAAAAAGGAAAGATCACCTTCTCCTCATTGACATTGAACTTCCATCAATTGTGTACATTCCTACTGTCAAAAATTGATCGCCCCTGCCGCTTGCTAAAGCAATGCTCATCGATGACATTCGTCTGTAACAAAATACCAACAACGCAGGAATGGGCAAGCATAGAAAAAGACTGTCAAAGACAAACTAAACTATTCCACACCGTAATCAGAAGATTTTACTACAATCAGAATTTCGTATAAAATCAACTAGCTAAAGGCAAGCTGAACTTTACATCAATAGTTTCCACTGCTTATTTTGAACTTGAAAAGAGAATAATCACCTCATCCCATAAGGTAGACCATAGCAACAATATGCTTTGCTTGTGGACTCCACAGGCAAGACACATTTGTGGACTCCGTGATATCAAAAGTTTTCCACATTAAGAAAAATTGAATTTGTAAAAATTTCAATCCGTGTCAAAACAACGGCTTCTTTCCATTCAACATTCCCATCAGATGATCCAAAACCCGACCTCCTCCATCTCGCAGGCCAGAATGCATATATTCATTGGTTATCCACAACCTAATCCCTGCTATCTGTGAAGCTGTTTCTGTGGCTAGTTTGAAGTTAACATACATGTCTTCATAATAAACAGCAGCAGCAACGGGTACCTATAAGCATTTCAAATAATATAATAAACCAGCCAACAAAACCCCAGGGATTGTTTGGGGTGGACATAGAACCGGTTTGAACTCAGATTTGGACAACCATCCAGATATGAATCAACTATAAGCCTTTTCCTTTATTATTTCGTTTTTGGGGTTGAGAAAGCACAAAGTTAGAGTCCATTGAAGCAATTTTGCATATATCCAGTGATCAGAGAACTAAGTTCATGAAATTTGGACAAAAATCATAAAAACCCCAATCCTGACCTGTAGATTTACCGAAGCCTCTGAGCAAATCTGAAGACTAACCCTCAAAAGAAAAATACCCAGAAAAAGACAATGAGCATTGTAGATTTTTAGGATCTGTTTGATTGATGAAGGGATAAAAGAACAGTTCAAAAATCCATTAAGTGTTTTTTTTTTTTTTTTTTTTCCAAAATTGTTCTCTAATAAAGGATTCATTTCAGGTAATAATATTTTTTCTGTTTTACCTTCCAAAAATATATATATATATATATATATATATATATATATATATTTTATGTTTTCTAAATGTTGTCAACTGTTTTCACTGTATAAAAGACAAAAGCAGGATCAGTATATTAAGCTATTAACTACTCCAGAAAGATAGCACACCTTGTTATTATTCAATGAGGCAATGTCATAGAGCGGAGGCCAATCCGTTTTCTCTGCCAATAAATTAGCAGCCTCTTTGAAACTCCTCAGGGCTTTGATTTCATCAAACATCCATGGGAATATCATCTGTAGGAGCAAACAAAGCCCAAATATGCATGTAATCAGGTACCAGAAATAATGTCAACAACGCTTACAGAGAACTTTGCTTTAAATAATCTCTATAAATGAGCATTTGACAGACAAACTTTAGCAGTTTTTTCAGGCTCAATAACATTGATTAAATCACTTTACATATAAAGAATAAAATAATAGGAAAAGCAAAATTTTCCTTTGAAGAATATAAAAGTACCATGCATTTACCGTTTTCACACAATGAAGTCTGTCTGCCCTACAGAAGCAACTAGTTGAAAATGGCAACTATGATTGAAGAAATTTCACGATGAACAGATGATATGTCGAAGTGACAAAGTGCAACACTATACCCTAATGATTAATCAAGATTAGCAAGCTTACAACATCTGTAATTGAATATACTAAATTACTTCTTACTTTTTCTTTTTAAATTTCCATTTCTTCTCCTTTTTTGGGGACTGTATCATATTTCCAGGGAGTGTATAGCAACGGGCATTTAGTTTAATTAGTTGCATCATCCCCATCCGTGGAAATGCCAACAACCTAACCGGTAAAATCTTCTGAATTCCATACCAAAGACCGGAGTACAAGTATTGTTGGAAGGTTAAAAAAACACATCACCACCACCATAGTACTGCTCCATAATAGCAAGGTGACTTGTAATTTGTAAATTATGTACTTCTTATCACCTCCTATGCATTTTGTATACATCCTTCTCTTCCCTAGAAAGGACACTGCAAATATCTGAGAGGGGTGGGCTGGCTACAAACCTAACCTTGCCATTATTTCTCGTAAAACTTTCATTAATTCAAGCTTAAAATATTTTATTTCATAATGAGAAAATTTAAAACATAACAACTCTCACAGAAGAAAGTATTCTTAGATAAGTCTTTTTTCTCAATGATAAAAGCTGGAAGAAGTGTAGAATTATAGAAAGAACAAGAAAAGAAAAAAAGAAAATAGAAAACAGAAGTTCCTATACTGCAGCAAAAGATTGTTAATACAGGAAATAATGCCAGTGTGTTTAGAACCTTCTATAGGGTGGGTCCCAATTTCCAGAGTATCTATATCCATGTTCACACGTGTCTATAAACTTTTATGTTCACTGTTCAAGAAGATTTCTAAAATTTCATTGGTTAATCTTTTCTGTAGTTTCCATCCATTGAACATCAAAGCCTTTTCTTTTCAATCTTTCACCTGTATATTGGATCTAAATACTGGAAGTGAAACTTCTCTGTTAGTTATTTTTAAGCACATTTTTGTCATTCTCTACCTCTCCTGTGAAGAGTACAGGGCGACCTTCTTTTGCTGCCTTAATAGCATCAAATTTGTTGTCATCTTCACTCCTTATTCTGTGAGCAGACCACCGTGATGAAGCTCCCTTCAAGTTGACAGCAAAAAAGGAATAAGATATCTTCCAGATTAGACAGGGAAAAATGAAACACCCATGCAGAAGCATACATATAAAAACCTGTTCCGTCACATACAAGATGCAGAAGCATACATATAAAAACCTGTTCCGTCACATACAAGATGCACAAGCATGTGATGATATTTGGCAAGCAGTTTTTGCTAGAAATGAACAAAGAGTTTACCTGACAGTATACGGACTCATGCAAAAGAGCATAGAGTGGATTTGTATCAAAAGCCAACCACTTTTCGAACTACAAATAAATAAAGAACTCAAGTCAGTGGATGCGGTGTCAAGCTGATAAGTGCCACATATTGAGGATAAAAGAAACTGAAAGAACATTCCGTTCACTAAAGCTGTACTTTTTATCCCTGATAATACAAAGAGTGTGCTATAACTACATCCTGATTGGTATGCACGTGCGTGAGTGTCTGGATCCATGCATTGAGAATAGATCCAAAACATACAAGATTGCAATCCTGGATTGGTTTGCTTGATGTGTTCAGAAGTTAAATGTTTTTCAACAATATTAACCTGGAAACACATCCAGCATCATACATATAGAGTAGAGTTGAGATTTCAACTTTTAATAACATATATAGAATTTGACATTTGCTTCAATTTCAAATCCGACACACAAACCCCCCCCCAAAAAAAAAATAAAACAAAAAATAAAAAATAAAAAATCAGTACACATACACCTCAGTTAGTATTGCTTGGGATGATGAGATCTAAACCCTGTGTTCATGATCATTGAGAAGTAGAAATTCACTTACAGCATTCAAGAAGTAGTAGCTGATTTGCTTTTTTGCTCCTGGAACTATTACAGGATCCCAGGCCCTCTCAAATCTGAGACAGTAGAAAGGGAGAAAAAAGAAGATAAGGGATGGGAAAAAAAAAGGATCAACTGAAGAGCATCAATTGTAATCGGTTAAGTGACAGATGGGGAATGAATGATGACTTACATATAATGCAAGCGCTCAAAACCTGTACTAGATCCTAAACCAGAAAGACCCAGAATCTGTAATCCCCTTGGGGTTAGGATGCCACCAGATGGAAGAAGCACCTTCATGAGAGAGAGAATATCAGTAATGGAAAAATAATAATAACTATAAAAAAGACTGCATATTCTAAATTTCTCTCACCCCGCCTCCTTCAGACTCTGCCAAGTGGTTCACAACTTCATGAACAATTTCAATATCCTCGGGAAACCTCTTGTAATACTTGTCATTTTGATGAACAACCTGTTCAAAGCATGCTCTGTATACAGCATCTGCAGTGCATCCTTTTCCAATTGGGGGGATTCCACCAGTTAGAAAGACTTGTTTCAGTCCTTGAGGTGCAAAACTCAAATAGGTAACAGCACAAAAACCACCATAACTCTAGACAAGGAAGAGAACGAGATATAATGAATATTATTAACAGTCATGTCATGCAAAAGCTTCAGCTTATGCACCATAGGCAAAATGACAAATAACTAAATGCAAAAACTTTATATGAAGAAAAAGGAGAAAATGAGGAAAATATATTGAGATTTTGTATAAATTTTAAAATCAATTCGTGCTTATTGAAGTTCTTTGTCAACTAGACCATGTACAGATTAAATAGCCTGATTTTTTTTTATTTTTATTTTTTTATTGTGACCAGGAACAGGCATTTTCAGTAGCAAGCACACAAAATAGTATAGCAATATTAATACCTGCCCCAAAACTGTCCAAGGTCCAGCATCAGGAACAAGACGTTTGCGAATAAACTCAGCATCATTTACTATATTATCAGCTCGAAAGTGTTTCAAGTAGTCAGCCAAATCCTCTGCAGACTTCATTTGCAACATCGATGATGGTGTCAAAGCAGTGGATAAGCCAGTTCCTCGCTGCAAGAAAAACATATCAGCAGAAGCCAAGATTGGACATATAGGTATTATTTCAATGAAAACTTGCACTAAAAGAATGTCAAAGAAATCATGCCTGATCCATCAATATAACACGATAGCCTTCGCATGCTTTATTGATCCATCCACTAGCTTCCGTTGGTCTTGGGCACTCAAAACCTGGTCCACCTTGCAAGTATAGCAGATACGGTAGTGGTTGTTCTTCCTTCCCAACTGCATCACTAATATTCATCAGTTAAAGACAGCTACCAAAACTACATACATGATCAGAAAGACTAAAAAAAAATCGTCTTATGGAGATTTTTATATCTTTTATTTTATTTTTAATTATTTTTGGGAGGGGGGTTTCAATTTTTCTTTAAAGATATTGAAATTATGTATAGAAGGGCTAATGAACTGCATTCACAGACTGATCATTCTATCATGACCCTAGCAGTTTATCCATAATAGGTAAACACAGTTCACAAAGTTACATCTGCTCTCCTAAAACAAAGAGCTTTGAAGATCAATAAGAAACTAATGAATTGAAAAGAAACTAAACATAAAATATAACAACCAATTTGGTATTGTTCCCTATTGTGAATAGTTCGAGGCGTATTATTGCACGTCTTGTACTCACATTTGCTATTTTTGCCAATAAATTACTTGCATTCGCATTTTGTATACGTTTGCAGGCATTTGAGAATTAAATATGCCTTCATCTGTATGAATATTGTTACCTTGAAAATATGTATATTTGTGTTCAATCCACTAGTCTAACAAAAATTTTAGTAGTTCAAAGATTCAATAGTCAGTGATAAAGCAAAGTTAACTAGTGTTATTCATATCCAATTTCTACATTCCCATGAAATTTACATAGCTCACAGTTCAAGTGAAAAAAGAGACACAAACTCATATTACTAGAACAGAAAAGCAATGAACTTTACTATAATTGTGGTTATGTGAAAATAATCCATATCCACACACTGATCAATTGAAATATGAATAACAAAAACTGAAAATTAGGGTTTTGCATCCGTCCAAATATCAATTTAGTCCTTAGGGATTACGTATTGTGGTATTAGCATCATACAGAGTAAATGAAAGTAATTGCTCTTTAGACCTTTCAAATTTTTTTTCTTTTTCCTAACTTACAATAAGAAACAGAAAATTTCAAATACATCCAATGCCGAACACTTGATTATAAATCATATCTCCTTTAACTCATATACAGTTTTAAAGAGATTTCTGATTTGATCCAAACGCTAATCAAGCAAGTAGTTAAGAGTGAATAATTTGACTGATCAAGGGAGTACCTGAGACCACTTCGCGAGCGAAAATGGAGATCTTAGGGCAAGTTTGGTGATCGAGAGTGTAGTCAAGAGGGAGACTGAAGTAGTGGTCGCGAAGTCGGAGCTCCGGCACGGAGTACCAGGTTCCGGCAACGTGGTCCGGCGAGGAATCACCCGCGGTGGTTTTGGTTCCGTTCATGGCGGTCACTGAAGAGATGGCCCTCCGGCGAAAGTGGAAGTACAGAAGTTTTCGGGGTGGTGTTAGTAAAACCGCATGAAGGGGTGAAGAAGGAGAGCGAAAATGGATGAGTGGTTTTATCAACGACGATGAGATTTGGGTTGCCCACATTTGGAAAGTGGTTGTTCGGGCATCCGAATATGGGAAGATACCATGTGGATGGAGCTCTTTATGTGGAAGATCTGATGGTGGTTTATCTATGGGTAAATGCTGGAAGCCGTCCGATGAGAAGACTTTTTCTCTAATGTTGGCGCTGATTTGGATCTGACGGTCTGGGTACGTTTGACTTCAACAGGCGCGTGATTAAAGCGTATATGTAAGATAAGAGACAACTTCTTTTCTTTTTACTTTTTGACTAATTAAAAACTAAAAGAAAAGAGAATTTTGTATTTTCTTCTCTTTCACTTTTGCTAATTAAAAACTAATAGAAAAGAGAATTTTGTATAAAATTTAGGAGGAATAAGAGAGTGCGTCTCTTCTCTTTTACCTTTACTAATTAAAAACTAATAGAAAAGAGAATTTTGTATAAAATTTAGGAAGAATTATTGGACTTTGTGTTTGACCTTAAAAATTTCAAGAATTGCTTATCGAGTCTTCAAACCAAACCTCTAACATTCTCACTAATCCAAACTTATAATGCTTTTGTTGGGACCGGATCTGTCTATTCGGTTACCTTTTGAGTGGGCATTTGATGTGGCATTAAGTACTAGATAATGCGTTAGATATTTCGCGACTTAACTTAAAAACTTAAATTATTAAGTGGTGTAAACACCAAACTCGTATATACCAATCACTTTCTTATCTGAATTCAACAAGAAACAAAAACCCACTAACCAAATTATCTTTAGTGACAACCGAATCAAAAAAATAAGTATTTCACCACTAGAATTATTATACAAGAGAACAAGTAAATAATAAAAATTTAATTCTAACACTACTCCAATGAAAAGTGATAAACTACATAAATGAAATGTAAAGGCTACATATTAAAATATGTTGTTTGGTTGGACACCTTTTGCACAAGCTTCTTTCTTCTTTTAACTTAAAATGGGACCGGATGTTCTGCAAGAATGATTTGGATGGCAATTGTTATCGACTTTAAATGGGGATCAGAATCAGAAAGTAATAATCCACGATTGCTACTAAAATTTTGATGAGTTCAATCAGTACTTAAGTTGATGAGTAATGTTCAAAACTTTTATATGAGTTCGACACTAAAACTCATACTCCAACTCAAATGATTCAAAGATTCTTCAATTGGAAACTTGGGATTCATGAGGAAAGAAGTTTAAATAAAGATTTGTTACTTTTTCTTTCCTAAATTAGTTAAGAACATCCACCCAACTACGAGTAATTTGGTATGGAAGGGATAATAAGAGTAATGATATGCCCCTTAAAAATTTAGATTTAGTGGGACTCAAACATGGCTCGTAAAAAATAATAATAAATGAAAATTACAAAAAGTCCTAATCGCAATCTTAATATAATTTTTTTTTTAGCATCAATCTTAATATAATTGAGAGTGTGGTATTGACCCGGAACCAAAAAGAGAGTGTGGATAACATTTTTGCAATACCAAGAAGAGAAGTTGTTAAGAAGTACCCTACATAAACATCACCACTTGCAGTTGGCGCAGCCAAAAATGGCTGCTTTTGATTTCCATCTCAATAAATTGAGTTAAACCAGAACTCACCGACCCTCATTCACATCTCTCTTCTCTTTCTCTCTCTACACGTCCAAACCCATCAATCAATCCAATGGCACTCTTCACCACTCTCTCCAAAGCGGTCTCATTCCTCGCCAGACCCTCCTCTCTCCTCCTCCACCTGAGATGTATGAGCAATGTCCCCGAAAACACCGTCTACGGCGGACCAAAGCCCCAAAACCCTAACCAGAGAGTCACCCTGACCCATCTAAGGCAAAAGCACCGCAAGGGCGAGCCTATAACCATGGTGACCGCGTATGACTACCCCTCGGCTGTCCATCTCGATACCGCCGGAATCGACGTGTGCCTAGTCGGCGATTCCGCCTCCATGGTGGTCCACGGCCACGACACCACCTTGCCCATAACCTTAGATGAGATGCTCGTGCATTGCCGCGCGGTGGCTCGCGGGGCCAAGAGACCTCTGCTTATTGGGGACCTTCCGTTCGGAACATACGAGTCCAGTGCTCATCAGGTAATGATCAATTGTGTTTGGTTCATGAGAAAATGGAGGGATAGTAAAAAAAAAATAAAATAGTTTCTTTTGGGCATTGTTTTTAGGAGATACTAGAAACAAAACAAGCAAATTTGGACTATTTTCTGTCTAGAATTAATACTAGTATATTATATCTGCTGTTGTTTTATTGGTTTTGAAAATGGATCTTGCATTGACCTTTGCTGCCAAGAATTGTATGTCTGAAATGCTAAATAATTTGCAGTAGAATTTGGAAGTTTAAATTGGTTTCAAAAACGAAATTTGACTTGATGTTTGCCTAAAAAAACATGGAAAGTAATGGGCAAACACTAACCAAACAATACAAATAAATGGTACTACAAAAATTTAAAGCAAAAAAGGGTATTTTATTTTAGTTATCTTTGTTTCAATTAATAAAAGATTCATACTTTTTAGAGGTTTGTTCTCCTTTTCTACATTTTATTGGCAACTAAATGAAGCATTGTTGAATTGTGTGTGTTTTGGTGTTGGGATTGGGCTTGAATGTGTCATGGTTGGTGATGTTGCAGTTTTAATTATGAGCAGGCGGTTGATACAGCAGTTAGGATTTTGAAGGAAGGAGGAATGGATGCGATTAAATTGGAAGGAGGGTCTCCTTCGAGAATTTCGGCAGCAAAATCTATTGTTGAGGCTGGAATTGCTGTTATGGGGCATGTGGGACTTACTCCTCAGGCCATTAGTGTTCTTGGAGGGTTTAGGCCCCAAGGGAAAAATGTTGCCAGTGCTGTCCAGGTCTCTCTTCACACAAATGCATATACACATAAGGAAAAAAATTATTATTGGGTGCTCTCATGGCCCATCAACATAGAGTTGCTCTACACATAAGTACATACATGCATAGGGAAATAGAAGCACACTTATGAAATCTCTCTGTTTTTCAATGGATTATGTTAAATTGGATTTCTTTTTTGCAGGTTGTGGAAACTGCCCTTGCCTTACAGGAAGCTGGGTGTTTTTCTGTCGTTCTGGAATGCGTTCCTGCACCCGTGGCTGCAGCTGCAACCTCTGCTCTTCGTATTCCCACAATTGGCATTGGAGCTGGGCCTTTCTGCAGTGGGCAGGTTAGTTGATTTTCGAGCTTGCATCATTCATTTTTACCAACAGAAATGGATTATATTTGTGTGTGTATTCCTTCATATTGCTATAAATAGATTGTAGTCTAAATGGGTCATTGTTTTTATTTTATAATGACTGATTTTGTGATATCCTACATATCCTTGTGCGTTTGTTTTACTTGCACAATATAATTGTAGTTTTGCATGGAAAGATCATCCCAAAGGTCCAAATATGTTAGTTCTTGCGAGTAGAGTAATCAAATACAATGTTCAACATTCAACACTATTGTAGAGAACTAGAGAATGAGAATCAATCAGTTCAATGGTTCATTCAGCAATATCATGAATTTTGTGGGTTATAGTAATTTCTCTACATCCAAACTATTGCCCTTGAAGTTTAAGAAATTGATTTTCAGATCAAGTGAAACTTATGATTGTCACAATTATATATGTAGAATTCTAGGAGTTCAGAAACTTGTAGCAAGGGTATGCAGGTTTGACATAGACTATCTGATTTCTATTTTTTTGGTCATTATTATCAAATGGTTCAGTCGAAGGATTCTTCCTGGCCTGATTCAACAGCTGATTTTTTTTTTTTTTTTTTTTTTCACAATTCCTTAATAGTTTTTGAGAATTCATGTTATTCCTTGGACAAAGGAAATCCTAGCTTATTGTTGACTAGCAGTTCCATCCTGATGGAACATGTCAAGCAGACCGCAAACACATCCCTTGTTCCTCCAGTTCTTTTGGTGTTCTTTTCGGAAGTGATTCAATTATCCATTTTGGGCATTGTGACTTGTGCTAAACGAATTATAAATTCTACATCCAAATGCACTGACACTAGTTAAATTTTATGTTTCATTTTTACAGTTTGTTCACATTGGCAAAATTGATTTTGAATTAATTTCCAATAATTGAATACCAGAATTTCTTTTTTTTTAGTGCATGTGCATTTCTAAACTGCATTCAAGGAAGGATATCCTTTTTCATTTTCACTATTTCTTTTCTCAGGTATAAATTAATGAGGAGTGATGGTATTGATCTCAAAGTGCATCATATAGGTTACTTCTAGGAGGCACTGGTGTGTCATATATCGTATCATCTTAATGTTATAACTCATACCATCATGCCTGCCCGTTCTCCTCACTTTTATTAGAAATGGGGATGATTAATTGAATTTCTGATGTGGCCGGTTACTGTTTCTGTATTGATTACTTCCATTGTTTTTGCAGGTCTTGGTTTACCATGATCTACTGGGAATGATGCAGCATCCACATCATGCAAAGGTTACTTCCCCTAATGTCAGTTTGCCACTCTGGCTTGATTGATGATCTTCCCTTCTTTTATGGAGTTGTCTAACTAGGGAAGGGTTTCTCCACCTTTTGCAGGTTACTCCAAAATTCTGTAAGCAGTATGCACATGTCGGAGATGTCATCAATAAAGCTCTTTCGGAGTACAAGGAAGAAGTGACAAATGGTTCATTTCCTGGTCCTGTCCACAGCCCGTATAAAATTAATCCTGCTGATGTTAATAGTTTCTCGACTGAATTAGAAAAGCTGGGTTTAAGCAAGGCAGCATCTGCAGCTGCTGCAGCAGCTGAGAATATTAATACAGCTGAATCATCTGATGGAGGAAGCACTCCAAGTAATTAAATATGGGCCAGCACGAGCACAATCAAGTTATGCACTTGCCCTTACTGTTGAATTTTCTCTTCCCATTTTGTTTGTTCCTTAAGTTATAGATTTGATTGAAAGAACGGTCAAATAATGGCATTTCAATGCCTGTTTTGAGCTGTAGAGGCCAAAGCTAACAGCTGAAGGACATCTTAGTGCGAGTAATGTAGATCCTCTGTTCAGGTATAGGTTGAAATAAGAATTTTTTTTTTTGTTCAAGTCATTTTACTTTTAGTCCCCTTTTTTAAGACTTCAAATTGTTAACATTGCATTGGAATTTTGAGATTTTTGAAGTCTACTTCTGCTATTCATTTATGCTCGATGAGAAGCACTAGAGATCACTCCTTTTGGTCATTTAAACTGATGGAAAGAAGATTGCCACCTCTAGGAGGTATTTGTAGCAAATTTTGCTTACCGTAACTGTGGTTTGTTGGCTAGAGCAAAAATATGAACCTGTTGCAGAAATAGAGGTTTCTGGTTCAGGTTTATAAATCTGCAATGATAATCTTAGAATGGGTCTTGTAAATAAGTACACTTGAAAATGAAGAAAATAGAATTTGTGTATTTATTTTTCTTCCAGAAATAGCTTTATAATTGATGAAGATGGTTTTATTATTATTATTATTATTATTCCTGGATATGTTTGTCAAGATACAGTAAGAGAGCACAACTATTCTATATGGTGCGAGTATAGAGGTCCCATGAACTTTACAGTAGCTCATTTCGAGTAGCTCATAATGTTTTACACAGGATTTGAATGGGCAAAATAGTCATTTAGGACAACAGAGGTAACTTATTTTTCCCTTGTATGTATGAATGATATGTTGTGTTCTAGTACACCGTTGAATCCAGTAAAAACTTGACATGAAAGGACTTGGGAGATTCTTCTTTCTTAGGCTCCAACTTCTCACTGTATGGTTTTTGCCCTCGAACACTCAACCTCCGGTACCACTTCCCAGGTATGCTTATCCGACTCTTACCTTATTTTATGCATCTTTTTTTTTTTCAAGTAAACTTTGATTGCAAGTTTGCAACAAACAGCTATACAGGATAGCAAAGGAGGGGCAAATACCTCCTAATTACAACTATTGAGAAAGCCCATTTCCGAAAGGCTGCAAACAAAAACAACAAAAGCAAAAGGATCCATATAGAATCTAGACTCACTAACACCTCAAAATAAAATCCAGAATAATTCTCTTCAAGCCTACAACTACGAGTCCTGATGACCAGAATCCAATCCAAATAGTGACACAATATCAATCAAAAGAAGTTTAACATGACAAGAAGGGAATTTGTACCTGGAATAATCTCTATTTTAATGTTGCTTTATTGACATCAGGAAAGCAGACCTAGAATCTGCTCTTGGTGCATCAGCATTTCTGGAAAGTGGACATGCAATTACACACACAAACACAGTTAAAAGAGAACCAGGATTTTCTTACTTCTATCAGAAATATGTCTAAAAGAGAGTTAAATAATAAAAATAAAAAATATATAAAAGACAGGATATTTACTAGCTTATTGTTGTAGCTTGTAGATCGGATTGTGAAACCTTCTTTGCTTTTAGCTTTGTGTGCTCCATCTAGTTGTGTGTACCCACCACATATGAAAATTGAATAAACTTGAACAAAGAAAGCAATAGTCACGAAAAGAAAAAGAAGCTTAATATTTGAGTTTTATGAACTTTAAAGAATTCAGATTATAAGGCATACCTTTGTTGTCTACGCATAATCATCGTATAGACCAACATTGGATTTCTTTTGATCGTCAGTGAACTTAGGTTCGGAAGGCCTTGAAATTTCATGCCACCATCATCATCAGACCAATCAAGCTCTTGGCAGCCATCAATTTCTAGTGATATGAGGGCTGTGAGATGTTGCATTCCTTTCGGCAGTGATGTCAATTTGTGGCAATCAAAAATGACAAGTTGATGAAGTGATGTGAGTTCGCCAATCCACTCTACCAAAGTAATCAACTCTTCACACCTTTCAATCTGCAGAGATTTGAGTGTGGCAACATGTTGAAGCCCCACAGGAAGAGAGACAAACTTTGGTATTCTTTTTAGCTTCAGAGAAGTTAGGTTCCAGAGGCTTTCGAAATGCATCCCATTATCATCTTCCAACAAATCAAGCATTTCGCAGTCACTGATCTCCAGTTGCTTGAGCGCTGTAAGATGCCACATCACTCCTGAGGGAGAAGTTAGTTTAGGACACCAAGAGATCTCAAGAAACCGGAGAAAAGTGAGACTTTCAATGGCCCTCTGTTGCAGTGTAACTAGATGATCAATGTATTGAATACATAGCTACTTCAATTTGGAAAGGGGAACTGGTGATGAGGATGAAGAGGGCAACATTGGGTCTGTTGTTGGAATTGTTGGCGTTGCCATCATTGTGAACTGTTGTTGTACTAGCTTATCGCTTACCTGCATCAATTCTAGTTCTTCAACACATGAATGCAGAGGCATTGATGTTTAGGTTAGGACAGTTTTGGATGGTTGATACAGAAAGAAAAGGAAATGCTATTGATTCTTCTGCTTCACAACTCCACCATCCCTTCAAACTAGTCATTTTTTCTGCAATGAATTTCACATCCAAGCTGCGATCAGAAAGGCACACCCACATCTTCAGTTCAAAATGATTGGTGACCTCCTCATCATTGCATACTGATTTGGCTAGTGTGGTCTTGCCTACTCCCGCCATTCCAGTTATCGAAAAGAAGCACACATCCTCAAAGTTGCCATAGACGTCCAATAGCTTTTCTACAAGTACCAAATTTTCTGTCTCCCTCCCAATTATAACTACTTCCTCCACTCCATCTTCTTCTATTGATGGTGCAGGTGGAATAAAAAAAGAGTGTGTTTCCTCTCTCTCTCTTCAAGTTTTCTCCCATCATGTTGTTGCTACTCTCATCAACATTTCTTTCAGGTAATTTGAAATTTTTTATCATTTCTTCTGCGATGGCATGTATTACCTTCCTATTGTCCTTAATTTTTTTTTTATTTTTATTTTTTTATCGTTTTTAATGTTCAATTTCTTCTCTGTGAGGAGCAGGAAGCTGCTGACAATTATTGCTCTCATATATGATCCATTTCTTCTTTGTTAGGAACAGCAGGAAGCTGCTGATGATTATCGCTCTCCTGATCCATTTCTACTTGCTTATAGAAAGGTTGCTGATCAGAATACATGCTCTTGAGCTGCTCAAGAGATCAGGTAAGAACCAATAATACTAGTAGTAAATGGTAAATTCTTTCTTTCTTTGTGAAGAAGCTGCACAAAAAGAAGCCTTAAAGGGTCAAGTCAAGGCTGTCAACCCAAGTGGGTGAGTATCTAATTAAGGTTTGTAAAATGGTGGTTTTAATGCAATTTTAAAAGACTTTTAACAGCGCTAAATGCTTCGACAACATCTTGTACTAGTAAAAATTTGTACATCATGCTATCTCTATCTTCTATTTATTTTTTATTTTGGAATGAATTACACTGACACCCTTATGAACTCTGCGTTCATTACTCATAGATGCAAACTTTGGATTGACGAACCCAACTTCCTTTCTGTCACCTTACCACTCTACCCTTTGACTTTGTCAAATGATGCTTCATGCACAAATAGACTATTTTACATTTTACACCCAACCCAAGAAAAGAATTTTTTTCATTGGACAAAAATAATTTTTTTACAGATGGAATGAGATTATGTTATATACGGGATAAATTACACTGACCACACTAAAAATTTATATTTAAAAGTTTCATTCTATATTTTTAAATTTTTTTAACAAATGTGACTGTGCAAAGACAAGCGACTCACACTTCTCAATTTGTAAAGCATATTTCACCTACAAAGCACGAACATGGATACAGTTACGACATGACACAAATACAACGACACGCTAAATTCTAAAAAAAATAAGATACGAACACGGCGGAAATACGCTTATAAAATAATATATATATATTTAAAATTCATAATATCATAAATCTAACCTTTCCTAAAAAAATAATGCAATAAAAGAAATGCTTCAAATAATAATAATAATAATAAAAAGTTATCAATAACTTTTCGATTTACATTTTACACACATTCACAAGCATAATTGCTTTGATTTTTTCTCTATTTCTTTTGCTACCGCCTAAAAATAAAAGTTTATTTAATTCCAGTATTGAGATGAATGAATCAAATAAAAAAATAAACATAATGAAATTATAAAATTTAATAAAAGTAATTTATCAAAAAAATAAAATTTAATAAAAGTAAAAGTTCAGAATCTCAATAAAAGAGTCAAAATAGTTAAACTTTTAAAGTTACATTAGGTACTTTATTTGTTTAAAAAATAATTATAAAATATATCCCGCTGTGTTCACGTGTGTTGAATTTCGCACACGTGTTCAACACTGCTTAAGAACCCCTGAACTTCATAGGATTCCACCCTTCCCAACATCGTGTTTCTTGCTATTACACCAATAATTTTGAATGCGTCAAACAAGAGTGACTTGTACTGGATATGGACCAAAATTAAAAGAGAGAAGAGGAAAAAGACAAAAGGTGGGACAAAAAGATGATGGGGTTTGATTGAGTTGGATGTCAGAATACACTACGTTATGAGTACTGCCACTAGGCAGTGGACCCAGCCATGTGAATACAGTAAACACGTGAAGTTGTACCATATTCACGTATCTCCTCTCTTCTTTAGTTTGACTATTCAACAAGCATATGAAATATGCCCTCTTCGTCCCAATTTAAATATTATTTATGAATAATAATAATTTATAAAAAAATAGGTGAAATATGTTTTATCTTTTTAAAAAGTTATTAACTTGTCTTTTTAAATTTTAAATATTTAAATTTAAAATTTTAAATTCAAATGACATATATAAAAATATGTAAAATATATTATTTGAAAAAAAAGAAAACTTTTAAAACAAATAAAAGAAAAAAACACGACATTTATTTTAAAATAGAGTGAGTATAGACGACATCTATGTTTTCTCTGCTCACTCTCTACCAAAGCTCCAACTCCAATACGTAAGGGTTGACCACACAAGTTTAATTAACTCCAAAACGAGTAACGTATCCAAGTTTTAGCTGCACATTTTTGTTTAAATTAAATGTAATGCCATGTATATTCACAGTGTCTTTTGAGTTTATTCATGTATCAACTCTGTACGTGTATGGTCTTTGAGAGGACTGTATATAGTCTAAGAAGTCTATTGTTGAGATCAATTGAATACAAAAAATCAATTCAATACAATAAGAAAGATATTTTCTGCTCCATTCCTCCCCCTTGAGAATTCATATAGAAATTGTATAATTGGTTAAAACAACTACAACACATTTTAAGTTAAAAGCTATTTCATAATATTGTGTACCATATGCTCAAGAAATCAAAGGAGAGGAAATCATGCAACAAATCCGAACAATCAACAGAGCAAGTTGTTGTAATTCGACTTAAGACACAATTTGTTAGCTTGAAACCTGATTAACATAGAACTGAACACAAAATTACTGGAATGTTTCAGCTTACATAGATTTATGCCCCTTCTAAAAAAGCCTTGGAATGTTAATTAGCCTTTGAAATTATTTCATTAAGAGCTGAAAAAACTCACAAACACTAGATAGTAGCTGAAGTATATATGCAGCAGCTAATTAGGCTGGAAGATGAAAAAGGCAAGTTGTTGCAAGTCAACTCTCCCAAGTAGCAGATACTGAAAACATGTACCATCACATGAACGGACAATTCATGAAAAAATAATCACTGAAACCATATATTATTCGATCTTTCTTGTATGGTTCAAACATATGTAGAGAGAATTAATTGTCTGCCAGTACATAAAGCTAGAAGAAGCTTTGTGATGCTGTGTTATTTCTTCTTTTGCTTTGATTAATAGATTCTTCTTGCTTGTTTTCTTTCCTCTATTCCGCTTCTTGTTCCCGATCCACGGAGATGAGCTCCGTATGCCAAAATTTTCCTAGTTCCCTCGCTACTTCTACTGCATTGAACTTTCCTGAAGCTGTTATTTCATCATAGTAAGGTCCAGCGACAGCGCGATCAACTCCTAAAGAGAACCAGAATTAATACATATAATTATAAGGCATGGCATCACTTGATTTTTATAGATGTTCGTGCACATACACACATAGTTCATAGTAGAAAAAAATGCTTTAAAAGCCGATGAACTATAGTGAATTACTAGAGGGAATAGTTTTGATTGGTCATGTTTTCAAAATATAATTAAGTGAGACCTCAATCAGACAATTCTGTTTAAGCATTCGCCCAACCAACACTATTTTTTGTATAGTACGTAGCTTTGACTTGATACCTGGAAGAGTCTTAACTTTCTTCAAGGCGTCCCGATAAGATATGCAATCATGATTATGTAGTCTCAACGACACCTTCTACAAGAACAAAGAATGAACACCTAAGATCTGATCATTGAAGATTGAAAAAACCACCCAGTAATAATGTAAAATACTGTTAAAAAAAAAAAAAAAAAAATCAAACCTTCGGTTGATCTGAAGTTGACAAAACCCTGAGCCTGAGGACATATATATCGGCATATTGTTAGTAATAGGGATAGAGTATTCTTTTCTTGCATATCACCAAAGAAATTGGAAATGAAGAGTGTATATAATTCAAATCAAGTTATAAACCAAATTTTGATCATCAAACAGAGAGAAGAAAAAAAAGAAAAAAGAAGCAGAAGCAGCAGAAGCTTTGAAAATTACCCGTTTTGGCCAGCTTGAATATAAATAACTTCCGCCAACGTCTTTGCAGCTGCAGGAAGGCCATCACACCTGTCAACAATTTCTTTCTTCATTCTTAACACAGTTTGATAATGATCTGAACCTTCAAATTTCTTTCTTAGAATTGAATCCATGAATGTCGACCCAAGTGCCTCTTCGTTGAATATTGAGGGCTCGAGTCTGATGAGTAGAGTATGCCCAGGCTTATGTTCACCCACCATGCTTGTTGCTACTTCATCGAGTCTACTGGTGACGATGATGGCACCTCCTCCTCCCTTTGGCAAACCATGGGTAAGACGGGTGAAGCATGTTGCAGCACCATCCATATACTTCGGATCAGAACTCAAATCAGAGTACCACTCATCTTGATGCCACACATGGTCTAGTACAATCAAATACTTCCGACTCGACAACTGAGCATTCAACTTCCTCAGGAGCACAGGAAGAGCATCATCATGTACGAATTCGTGTTTAGGAGCCGACTGCATCAACAAATCTCTCACCATTTCTCTTGGATTCGCTCCTGCAGATAGTCTCACCCAAATGATGGGTGAGAACGTCTGCTGGACTGGGAAGCTATGGACAACCATATGGGCCAGAGCAGATTTACCCACCCCACACATTCCCACAATCCCAACTGCTTTAATACCATTTAGGATAGGATCATCGGGTGTTTTGAGGAGCAATGATTCGACCTTTTGCAAGTAGCGGTCAAGCCCATAAATTTTAGATGCACTGAGAGGCGGAAGATCAGCCACTGACCCGACACTGATAGAGTCTAATAGCAGCAAAGAATTTTCAGCTTCTGCATCACTTTCATTGCTCATCTGTTGCAATTCTTTTTTGATTTTGTGCAGCTTCTTTCCAGTTTTATAAAGAAACCAAAGTTTCTTCACAGTATGGACATGGAAATTGCTTTTTGTGTTCTGGTTTTTGAGGTCCCGTTCCTTCTCTGCTGAGAGAAGGCACTCTGCCAAAAAGTACCTGAGATCATACAGAGAATTCTTCATCTTAATAGGCGTGGCCGAGTCGATGATCTTCTCTTGCAACACCTCTAGGATCTCCTGAAAATGACGACGGAGGGGAAGTTCTACACCGAATTGCTCCATTGCATCTTGGAAGTCGGTGATGAATTTCTCCTTGAGAAATTGTAGATGATCAGCTGCCATTTTAGTTTTCTAGTTTTAGCAATCTCTTTCCTATTTTTTTTTGTTCAAGTTCTATGGTAGATTTATTCATTTAAATCAGCTACCAGAGAATTTAAGTCCATCCAATACTTACTTTCTTCTTCATTTTATTCATTTAAATCAGCTATTAGAGAATTTAAGGCCATCCAAGACTTTCTTTCTTCTTTCATTTTTTAATTATTATTATTATTTTTTTACATGTGACTTTTTAAAATTGGACTAATTTCACTGACATCCTTTTAGATTTGATCAAATATCACTCTTAAACATATTTCGAAAATAATTATCATTTAAGTCCATTTTCACTTTTCCATCATAATTTTCGTTAAAAATATATAAAAAACAATTTTGCCCCTACATACATTTTGACTTGGTCAAAAGTGCTCATTTTAAATAAATTTGAAATCACTAATATATGAAATGACCACAATACCCCTCACAAACTTCCATATATTTTACGCAGTTGTGCCATGTTTGGATGCCTATATTAGACTATTTCTCTCTCTATAACATCTACACAATCTCTCTAAAAATCTCTCTCCATTCTCTCTCTAATATTTTTCTCTCGATCTTTGGTTCTTACATTTCACAGATAACACAACATACATATATAAATATATGTATTATTTATATGTTTTTCAACAATTAATAAATAAGAGAATTTGAACAAATAAAGAGATTCCAATACAAAATTTTTAATTATACCCATTTTTTTTACATTCCTAGTGCTTATATTCATTTCAGATTTCTTTCAATCAATTAACAGTTAAAAAAAAAAAAAAAAAAAAAAAAAAAAAAAAAAAACCACTTAATCCAGAGTGAATTCATATTACTGTTTTGAGATTTCTGTCATTTGTGGCTATGGCAACCATTTGTACAAAAAAAAAAAATAATAATAAAAATAAAAATAAAAAAATGAAAGAAAATAAAAGAAAATTTCCATTCACATTAAATACAACAGTTCAGTATAGAACTCTCCAACATAATTAGGCAGTTCAATTTTCATAAGAGATTCAGATGATCTTTATATTACTTTTTGCTAACCCCCCATCTCTTTCTAAAAATCATACAAACTCTTCGCCAATCCTCTACTTCTCTCTTTCTCTCTCTCTCTGTGTATCTCTGACTTTCTCTAGAGGCAATAACATAGCAGTCGTAGAGCATGTCTGTTAGCTTTAAAAACAAACACCTCTAGAAAAACAATTAAAAATAAAGAAAATTAGACTTTCTCTCTCCCAATCTACGTAATCTGTCGTGGCCCATTTTAACCATGGTTCTGCTTCCTAATTGTGCTTAATAAGCTGTTATCATTACCCTATGGGACACCAATGTGATGTTTCTGATTTTCTGCATTTTTTATTTTTTCGGTAATTCGTTGGTGCAAGGGTATTTTCGTCTTTTCACATGCTGCGTGTGGGATTGTGGTTGGGTCCATTTGCATTTTTGTATATTTTAATTTATGTGGATTTAGTGGTATTTGTATGTAGTGCATCTATGTTTCTATGGTGTATAATGGAAGAATAAAGAAAAAGAGAAAGGAAAAGATATTGGAGGGACCCACCACTAAGCACTAAGTGGTCTAGAGACCACATCTTGACCTCATTTTCACTCTCTCTCCCGTAAGTCTCTCTACCCTATTTCTTTTGCATTTCTCTTTCTTTCTCTCAAGCAAACTTTGAATCAAGATTACTCTTTCAATCCTTGGAATTTTTAAGTGCCGTTTGAGGCAAAACGGAGAGCACGACGAGCTCTACGCGTGAGTACTAACAATTTCAGCTTTGGGCCTCCATAGGGATTTTGAAATTTGGAAACCATTTTGAGGGTTTTGCACAAACTTGAGGTAGGGGCTTCCTAATCCTAATACTCTTGTACTTTTGTGAGTCAAATTACTTGAATTGTGACTTAACATGTTTATTTGTGCTAATTGTAGTTTAAAATGATTTAATTGTGTGTATGTGGTTATGTGAGGACATGTATTAAATGTATTATGTGGAAAACATGCTTATATAATGAATTTCTATACTTATTATGTTGTTTATATGCTATGAATGATGGATGAAGGCATGTTTCATTGTGTTATGTGAAAATCCCTTATTGTTAAAGCATTAAAAGTATGAGACATGCATGTAAGTTATTGGGTTTCATGATGGGTAATGTTTTGGATAAAGTAAAAAGGGGATTTTTGGGAGAAAATTGTTTTGAATCGGTTTTGAGAAAACCTGGTCGCCGCGGAGGTACTAAAGGGCCGGAGTGTTAATATAGCCTAGAGGGAACTAGGGAGTTGCCCTAACGTGATTGAGTTAGCTGGGCCCCATAATGACGCCGCGGGGGTACCAAGGGTCAGAGACACTAGCCAATCATTCTCTCGTGTCTCTGCGAGGTCACCAAAGGGCGGGTTATATTAACAGTTTGAAAGTGATGATTTTAAATGTGAAAAATGGGGAGCGACATCGGCATGAATTGCATCCCCATTGCATCATATTATTTATGTTGAGATTGGAAACCATGTTGTAATTTCCCGACATTGTATGACCCCGATTTCTATGGTTTTACTCTTTGTTTTGGATTCACGAGGACTTAAGAGGTGCGTCTTAGGCGCCACTTACTGAGCAAATTGCTCACCCCACCATATTTAAATTTTTTTCAAGTCACGGCAAGGAGTTGGCGGACGATAATCCACCTCATGCTTGAGAGCACTTAGGAAGCATTTTGGATGTATTTTTGTAGAGCTTGAACTTATTTTGTAAAGATGTTGACTTAGGATGTATTACTTTTGCAAAATGTAAAATATTTGGATTTTAGCATGTACATGGCCAGTGGGGTAATGTAATTAAGTTTTACTATCATTTAATCCTTTAGTGTATTTTGGTAACGTGTGGTAAATTATGTTAACGTTGTAGTTGTTGTTATTGTGGATGTTGAAATGTATTTACATATGCGTGAGTGTAGTGGTGTGGGTGATTGGCTTCGTGTATCTCGGTGACAGTGAGTGAGGATGACCCAAACCAGTCGATGTAAAATCCCATACGTCGACTGAGTTGCTTGAACCAGTAGACGTGTAGCTTCCCACACGTCGACCGATATCCTGACAGTAAGCTTTTCACTGTACACATTCCAAACTAGTCGACGTGTAGATTCCCACACGTCGACCAGTATCTGGGCAGTGGGATTTTCCACTGTTCATAACCCAAATCAGCTGACGTATAATGCATATACGTCGACCGGTTCTTGTCCCATAAACATTCTTCTTTTAATTTTTCTAATTACACTTTGGTACCCAATTGATATGTGAGTATTTACCTTATGGCCCAATCAAAGTACAATAAATATATTTTGACCACCGAAAAGATTACATTGTCCCGGACCTTATTTTAATTATTGTGTGATGCAAGTAAATGACTATTATACCCTTGAGTCTCAAATTATTGATTTGTAGCAAATTACCATCATGCCCTTTTGCACCTTGATAATCGAATTTAACGTGAAAGGACTGTATTACCCTTGGACGATTCTGGGTCGGGTAAGGACTCGTTTAATGATCCGGATCCATGAGGATTTGGGTCGTTACAACCAATGGTGGTGGACGATGATGACACCGACGGTTGTGCTGCGTGATATTTATCTCCAACAGCGGTCATCGCCATCTATGGCCGCGGCCCTCAGAAAAAGTGTCATTATCGTTCACCTCTACTATAATCATCTATCCACAACAATTATTTACCATCAATTGATGTCAATTGTAAAACACTGAGCACTTACTTCTCTCAATTTTGGAATTAACCTAACCAGATTCATATTCTCGTATCAAATCAAAAACACATTTACACAGATGTATGTTTGATTGAACCTAATTTTTTTTTTTCACTGATTAACCTAATTTCACAAAACAAAGTTGGCATCTCTGGCGGTCATGATGGCATCTTGCTGTTTTAATTTTGGTGGTTGGGTTATAGAATCGGTGGTTGTGGTGGTGGCGGTAAGGAGAGAGAGGAACGGTGATGGTGGTGTGATTGTGAAGGTGGAGAGAGAGGAATGGTGGTGGTGGAGAGAGAAATGTACAGTGGTGGAGAGAGAGAGGAGTATATATGTCTTGTGTAATATATATATATATATATATATATATATATATATAATATAATATACGTGTATATATATATGTCTGTATATATATATATCTGGTATATTTATATAATTTGTAAATTTATAAAATTTTAGGAATATTTTAGTCTTTTAATTTAATTGTTTAGGCAAAAGAGTTATTTTGACAAAGTCAAAGAATATTTACGTCATTTTATATCGTGTCAGAACTGTTTAACTAACGGTTGAGGTGTGAGTGAAAATCGGAACAAAAGTTTGTAATGTGAGCGATAGTTATTTTTGAAATATGTTTGAAGATGATATTTGGTCAAATTTGAAGGGGTGTCAGTGAAATTAACCCTTTAAAATTTGGATGGATACATTATTTTATTTTATTTTTTTCTAAAGATTTGTATGTATATCCGCCCCAATGTGATGTTCAACTTTTTTTTTTTTTTTTCATCATCTTTAGTTACTAGCGTGGGACTAAATGACTGATATGTCTTTACTTTAGCAATATGAAAGGCTGGAATTTGGGCCCAGCAATTTATAAAGCAGATTCCTTTTCGAAGTCCTGGAGAGGAAGACGCATCCCAGCAATTTATAAAGGAGATTCCATCCGTGTTGCTATTAATACCAATAATTTTAATTTGATAATTAAGAATCATATCTTAATTTATTATTGACCTACATCAACAATTCAAAACCCCAAAATCTCACCTTATCCTACTTTGCGTATGACCTGTTCTTTACTTTTCAACAAATAAAAGAGCGACAAAAACAAAAAAAAAACAAAGACATATCTATATTTTACTTGCACATATTTTTTCTTTGGTTAGAAGCTATTTCATAATATTAAGTACCATATTAATAAATAAATAAACAAATCCGGAAAATCAAAACAGCAAGTTGTTGCAAGCCAACTCCCGCTCTCAATAATAGCATTGAAACTTGATTAACAATTAACTGGAAACAAAATCACTTAAAATTTTCATTACATAGATTTATGTCCCTTCTAAATCCTTAGTAAGCTTTTTGACTTTTTATTCTTTGATAGACTTCCTCTTTGGTTCACTAAAATGTCATTATACTGAGATAAGCTGTGCGTGTATATTCATAAACGAAAACAATCACCGTAAAAGAATGTCATAATATGACATTGAAGTGGGGATATATATATATATATATATATATATATATATTTATATATCTATATACCTTATAAAAATGAAATGGTGCGTCACTTGCCAGTTATCATATCATACACAGTCAGCAGTAGTGTCTCTTCACCTGCAACGTCAGTTGCCATATCAGACACAATCAGTAATGATGCCAACTGTAGTTCCACTTCACCATCATCATCATGGGTGAAAACCCATTTCTACCAAATTTCATGATCTTGTTTTCAATCTCAAGTTGAGTTCAAATTCACCTTGAGTTTGAGGGGGACGGTTAGATTACAAGTTTACCCATTTACCTACCAACTAAGTTTATTGCATATTACAAATTATCATATATGGGTACACTTACCATATAGATATATTTCTGAATACCATATTAGTATATATTGATAATTTGTTCTTCACTCACTTACCCTCAAATATTTTTCTATATATAAGACATCTATATAACATCTTACATGTACATCAATACAATATTACAGAGTTTTATACGCTCTCTTATTTCTAAAAGCAGCAAAGAAATTTTCCGAATAGAAAGACAATTTGTAAAACAACAAACAGAAATGACCAGATTTCTAAGGCCTGTATAAGCTAATTTACACTTGTCAGCAACAAGAAATTCTAAGTGTTAAAAGAAACAGCTAAAACCAGCAACTAATTTCTCAACAAATATAATTTTTGTAGCAATCCATATAAAACCAATTACCCACGAGGCTGAAAATCTTCACTTCCTCCGGTGTTCGTTTTTATTAAGTCTCACTATTCTCCGAGACTTATAAGCACCACCAGTGCCCAATGAGAAGCTACCCCCAGCACTGAGATCTAGACTTCCAGATGCCTGAAATGGAGATGCATTCTGTGTAGCTTGATTCTGCTGGCCACCAAATTGAAAGGGAAGTGTTGCTAATGGAGCTGACGAACCAAACATGAAGCCAGATGAAGGCGAGATAGATGGTTGACCAAATATGGGTGGTGCAGGTGTCTGTACAGTGTCCTCGGCCATGCTGTCCTCCATGTTCATCTGATCACCATTATCTGAGGCGGCTGTGAAAACCGAAGTAGGATTATCAAATACAGGATGCGTTTGAGAGAAAGGCGTCAACGATAGCGTGGGACTTGATGACTGATATGTCTTGCTTTAGCAATATGAAAGGCTGGAATTTGGGCCCAGCAATTCATAAAGCAGTCTAAAGCAGATTCCTTTTCGAAGTCCTGGAGAGGAAGAGGCATCCCAGCAATTTATAAAGCAGATTCCATCCGTGTTCCTTTTTTTCCATCCGTGTTCCTTGCTAGGTGCTATTAACACTAATAATTTAGATTTGGTAATTAAAAATTACTTATTAATTTATTGTTGATTCACATTAAGGATTAATATGTTATAAATAACTTAAGTATTATCTAATTTTGAATGAAACAAAATAAATGAGAGTGTCTTGTAATGTTATGGACAAAAATTTTAAGGAAGAAAAAAAGAGGACAAAAAGTGGACAAAAATGAATGATTGGAAACCCCCCCCCACCCCCCAAAAAAAAAAATCTCACCTTATCCCACCTTACGTATGACCTTTGTTCTTTAGTTGCCAACAGCTGGAAGAGCAACACAAACAAAATAAAATAAATAAATAAATAAGACATATCTATATTTTACTTGCACATATTTTTTCTTTGGTTAGAAGCTATTTCATAATATTAATTATCATATTAATAAATAAATAAACAAAATTCAAAAAATCAGAATAGACTTCAAAATTAAAATTATTCTTTGATAGACTTCCTCATTGGTTCATTATAATGTTCCAACGACAATTTTTTTTAAGTTCTTGCAAGCCAACGACAAAAATTTGAAGTTCTTGCAAGCCAACGACACCGGCTCTCAATAACAACCTTGAAACTTGATTAACAATTAACTGTAAACAAAATCACTTAAATTTTTCATTACATAGATTTATGTCTCTTCTAAATCCTTAGTAAGCTTTGCCATCCTTTGCGTTGTTTTACTGCTCTGAATTCTTCTTGCTTTTTGACTTTTTATTCTTTGGACTTCCTCTTTGGTTCATTATAATGTGCCAATTAACTGAGATAAGCTGTGTATGTATGTATATTCATTAACGAAAACAATCACTATAAAAGAATATCATATGTAATATGTCATTCAAGTGGCGATTTATATATATATATATCTATATACCCTATAAAAGTGTATGTAATTTTAATTTTTTATATACATTTTTAAATAATTTCTTTAATTTCTTTAATTTTTTTAGGTCTTGGAAAAGAACCGCCAATCCACCTCAAAATTGAAAGATGTTTGAAGGTGATTTTTTTTGCTATTTTGTATTTGGCCATTTCACGTATAATCATAATTTTTGGAGAATGTAAATAAGTTTGCAATTATGGCCATTGGATAATGTAATTAAGTTTTAACCAATCATAAGCCTTTTGTATATTTAAGTAATGTTTGGTAGTTCATGTTGTTGATGGTTATTGTATTTTTATTTGATGTTAAAATGTAATTATTATTTTTGTACACTAAATCCTCTAGTGTATTTTAGTGACGTGTGGCAAATTGTGATAACAACGTGGTTATTGTTGAAGTTGGAATGTATTAATTTTGTGGGTAAGTGTAGTGACGTGGGTGGTTGAATGACCAAAAGTTGGAGTACAGGGTCACACATGACAGTGGAAAGTGGGAGTGAAGATTTTCTAGAACCGGTCGACGTATAACCCAAACCGGTCGACCGGTATCTTCACAGTATGTTTGAGCAATTCATGTCCCAAACCAGTCGACCGGTATCCATTGTAACTTATGTTTAGAACCAGTCAACTGGTATCCCAAACCAGTCAACCTGTATCATGGCAGTGGGTTTTCTCACTGTTCATATCCCAAACCAGTCGACGTATAAGGAGTATACGTCGACCGGTTCTACCTTTTCATGTAATTACCAATTTAAGTTCTTAAAATTACACTTTGGCATCATTTGAAGTTAAAATTAATTATTTTTATGACCCAATTAAATCCCATAATTATATTTTTGCCCCAAAAGGATTGTTTTACCCCGGACCTCATTTTAATTATTGTGTGAAGCACATAAATGACTATGACGTCCTTTGGGTCTTAATTTATTGAAATATGGCAAATTACCATCTTGCCCTTTTTGGAACTCTACATTTTAATTTAACGTGAAATTACCATTTTACCCTTGGATGTTTTTAGGCCGGGTTATGACCCGTTTAATGATCTGGATCCATGAGGAGCTGGGTCGTTACACACTTTCTAATATTTTTGTCTCGATCTTTGATTCTTACATTTCACAGATAACACATCATACATATATAAATATATGTATTATTTATATGTTTTTCAATAATTAATAAATAAGAGAATTTGAACAAATAAAGAGATTCCAACACAAAATTTTTAATTATACCCATTTTTTTACATTCCTAGTGCTTATATTAATTTCGAAATTCTTTCAATCAATTAACAGTTAAAAAAAAAAAAAAAATTTGAAAGAAAAAAAAAGAAAATTTCCATTCACATTAAATACAAAAGTTCAGTACAGAACTCTCTAACATAATTAGGCAATTCAATTTTCATAAGAGATTCAGATGATCTTTATATTACATTTTGCTAATCCCCCCATCTCTCTCTCTAAAAATCATACAAACTCTTCACCAATCCTCTACTTCTCATCTTTATATTACTTTTTGCTAATCCCCCCATCTCTCTCTCTAAAAATCATACAAACTCTAAAGACGACGTCAAATTGCAACTCTAGTCGTTTTCCTTGCCGTGTATTGGTTTATGCGTCGAAAACGTAGAAACTACATAGATAAACCTATTACACAATCAGAGATTGAAAGACAAATAACACGGGATAAACTAATGAACGAGCTTAGGATAAATGAGAAATGTCGTAACATTACTCATATGGAACCAAAAGCTTTTCAAATTTTCTGTGAGATGCTTATAAGAGATGGTGGTCTTCGACCCACAAAACGTGCAAATGTTGAAGAGCAAGTTGCCAAATTTCTTCACATTATATCACATAATGTGAGGAATCGGACAATGTCATTTTTCTTTTGTCGCTCTGGTAAAACCATAAGCCGTCATTTTCGTAGTGTGTTAAAAGCAGTAATCTTATTGGAAGGACAGTTTCTCAAGCAGCCTAGTGGATTGGACGTCCCCCTAGAAATACTCAATAACGATAGGTTTCATCCATATTTCAAGGTAAACGTGATTAGTATTTCACTCAATACTTCAATTTTAACGATTTTGTAAACTATTACATGAAATTTTTTATATAATAATTTTTCTCAGAATTGCATTGGGACAATTGATGGAACACATGTTCGTGTGAAAGTATATCATGGTAGGAAAAATTATCCAACAGTAAATGTGTTAGCAGCTTGTTCATTTGACATGAAATTTACCTATGTTTTACCTGGATGGGAGGGTACCGCTTCAGACTCAAGCGTTATGACTAGTGCACTAAAAAGAAAAGGAGATAAATTAATACTTCCTGAAGGTAATTTTTGCTAACATTAACTAAAATTTTTAAGATATTATTTTTTATATGAAGCCAATATTAATTACTATTATTCTTAATAGGAAAATTTTATCTTGCTGACGTCGAGTACCCATTAAAGGCTGGACTTATCACGCCTTATAGAGGTGTGCGCTACCATTTAAAAGAGTATATCTCACGCCGACCAGAGAATCCTAGAGAGTTATTCAACCTTCGACATGCATCACTGCGCAATGTTATTAAGAGAATTTTTGGTGTGTTGAAGAAACGATTTCCTATCATAGGAAGCAGAACTGAACCAACATATGATGTTACAACTCAAATTGATATCATTTTAGCTTGTTGCATCATACACAACTATTTAATGGGCATGGATCCGAATGAAAGGCTTATTAATGAAGTAGATCGGGAGTTGTTAAATGAAACTCCAAATGAAAAGCGTGGTCCAATGGAAAGAAGTGAAGATCATAGTTTAGGAGAAAACTTGAGAGATTCAATAGCTTCCCATATGTGGCATGACTATGTAACTAATCATGTGTGATACTTGAACTGTTTATTTGGTTGCAATAACTTAAAACTTATTTACTTTTGTTTAATTTTCCTGTAACTTCTTTTATGTTAAAGTTCTTGATTTGGAGATTTAGAATGCTAATTATAGCTTGTTATAAACTCCTACCTTGCATACAGTTTTTGTTTACCTTTAATTGAATGATTTATCTTTTTTTTTTTCATTTCTTTGTATTGTACTTGTTTTTATGTAGATATAAGAATGAGTAATCAATCAAACATAAGTGGTGGGTCGAAGAGGGATAGATGTGTTTGGACTGCACAAATGAATGATATTTTTGTAGATGCGTTGCATAATCAATTTGTGAAGGGGAATATGATTGAGGGCACATTTACAACAAAAGCTTATAGTGAGATTGTTCACGAATTGACAGAAAGACTAGGTATCGATATCAACAAAGATAAAGTGAAAAATCGATTGAAAACAATCAAGAAAACATTTCACGAGTGTTTTGACTTATTCAAAACTGGTTTGAGTGGGTTTGCTTGGAGTGAAGCAACAAAAATGTGGTATGCTGAACCTGAAGTTTTGGCTTCTTCAATTGAGGTTAGTTGTTTAATTGAGAATATTTATTTATTTATTTGTTTGTTTGTTCTTTTAAGAGAAACAATTATTATGCTACCTTTGTTTCAGCTTGAAATAATGATAATGTATTTTATTTTATGTTTCGCCAATAGTTAAATCCAGCAGTTGAGAAATGGAAGACTACTCCAATTTTCAACTATAATAAGTTGCTGGATTTATTTGGCAAGGATAGGGCAATTGGGTCTAATGCAGCAACTGCTGAGGAGATGATTAATGATTGGGTAACAAAAGGAAAAGATTAATGATTGGGTAACAAAAGGAAAAGAGAAGAGTAATGAAAGGGAGTCAAGTCCTAATGATGATCTGATGGAGAGCATTGATGGTATTGATCACATGGTGTCACAGAATGAGGTAAGTTTGGATAATACATTTTTTATGGATCATGAGTTTGAGAATATGAATATGATGTCTCCTGAAACACCTTCAAGTGAACCTCCCATTCCACTTCTTCAAAAGGAAAAAAGAAGAAGGAATTATTCGACTGGTGATGGAGATAATGAAATAATTGAAATGGTGAGAGGTGTGGCTGAAGCTCTTAAAGAAGGAAATGACCTTCATAAAACATTCAACAATATTTATGAGAAGTGCAACCAAAAGGGAAAATATGAAGAAGAAATCTTTAAAATGTTTGGCAAAAATTGGACTAGAGGGGCATGCAATGATAGATCATCCAGCTAGAATGACACAATTTCTTGGTTGCCCACTTGTGCTTCGCAAGATACTCCTGGAGGAACAGATGTCCAATGCAACGGTGTTCCTTCGGTAACCATACTGGACCGCAAACGCATATACCCAATTGAACAATATTTAAGGGAATCGTATTTCCCACTGACGGCGCCAGCTGTTGAGGTTGAAATTCGCCGCGGTCCGATACAACACTGTTCCTGTAAGAAAAGAATAGAAGATCGATGAAGCTTGACGACACCGGTGTGGTGCCTGCCAAGAATTCTTCGACGATCAAGTTAGTCACCGGAGGTCTAAAAGAAAGGCAGGGATTAGTAATAGTTTTTTTGTCGTACCTTTATTGACCGGTAGAATCCCCTTTTTATAGTCGCTCTCCCTCAGTTTATTTGCGGGATAAGAGAAAATCCGCTTATGCGAGATCAGAGGAGATCCGTTCCAGATTTGTCGGGATATGATTTAACTCTTTTTTACTTCCTCCAATTGTGCCAGGATTATCCTTACCCTGTTGAACCACGTCAGATTCCATTATCCTTGATAATGAAATCTAAAAATGGAAATATAAGGTCTATCGTTAGGTTAATGTAAGGTAGGTTTATTTTTCCCTATCAATTGTGTCGAGGTCAAGCCCATTACAATTCAAACAAAATTATTTAAGTTAAATTCAAAACCACTTATTTCGTGTAGAGTTCACCACAAGGCAACATGTATTTCAAGAAAATCAACCATATCAAGGGAAGTTGGGCCCTAATTTTGAGCTTGTGTCTGACTGAAATATTGGCCGTTGGATAAGAGTTCAAAGCTGCGAGTGCTGCTGTTATTCATTCCAGTTTTTCTGTTTGATACATTTCATCACTTCCCGTTGAATAACTACGGCACCGAAGTTCCGCCCAGATTCCGGCGAGGTATGCCTCCAAATCTCCTTATTTATCTAGTGGAATTGATTGTTTCCTCGTGCAGTGCTTTAAAAGAAATACAGTTAGCTCTATGTTTGGTTCCGGAGAAAGCTTTGCATTTTATAGATTATGTTGTGGAAAATCCACCCAGCTCAATTTAGCTTGACATTTATGCTTTATGATTCATTTATCTATTCATGCATGTATTGAAAGATGTTATTTTTTTTTTTTTTTTAAGAGACTACTCCTATATTGTCAAACAAAAAATAGGGAACTCAATGAATCATGATTTATTAGCTTTTGCTCTGTGGGGGGTTTTCATAGCCTCTTAGAGCTATAGACTGAAAGTTGGGATTGCAATTTTCTCCAACCCAATAGATTTTCACCTCGTCCCCGCTCCTAATGAGTTAGATTTATTGGTTATTAAATGGGTTTGGGGTGGGGGACGAATTTAGTGATGACCCCGCCGGATTATGTATGTATCTTTCAATTTTTTTTTATATATATAAAATATATATTTGATATTTTTAAGACTCTTAATATTTTAATATATTAATATTTAATACTTAGTAATTTAAAAATTAAGTTAGCTTATTTAAGGACACTGAATTAGTTTTTATTTATTTATTTATAAAAGTGGTATGAGCTGGCCCACACCCGTCGCACCCGGAACACATGTGACGGATTGAGAGCACTTCCGAGGACGAAGGGACGGAGGATTACTGGCGTGGAAGCTACCACGCCGTCGGCGACACCTTCAAGGGCAGATCCGACGGTGGCTTGTGCACGCCGGCGATTGACAGAACAGCATGCAAGATGGGCTATGGATGAACTTGGTAGTGCTCGGATGGTGGAAAGACGGCGACGGCGAGCTTGGCCAGTGGAGACGGGTTGGCGCTGAGGTGGGTGACGGGCTGGTTCGGTCGTGGATGACTCACGGTGGCTGCTATTGTAGATGAACTGCGACAGTGCCCATCGAGACGGATTCGGCGAGGACAGGCTGGCACAGCGGTGGGCGACGGACTGTGGAGAGGACTCAGCGGCGATGGGGTGGTTCGGGGCGTGATGGCAGCGGCGAGCTCGGCCGATTGAGGGCCCGGCCGTGATGGTCTGACCTGCAATGAATGGTCGGTTGTGGAGAGGTCGGCCTGTGAGCAAGAGGCAGTAAAGGATTCCGGCAACCGACCTCCACATTGTCTGCTACACCTCCGCCTCCCCTACATCCTCAGGTCTTTGTTCATAGCACAGTTGAGAGTAGTGCTTACCAAATTCTGGGCATGGGATTTTGGTGGCCACTGTGATCAGACAACGTTGGAGGAAGAGAAGCAGTGGTCTTTCAAAGGGGCAATTTGGGAATCAGATTATAACGTACAGTAGATTTTCAAGATTTTGGCATTTAACCTCCTTAAATCCATTTTGTTGGAAAGAGTAGATTTGACTCCTTTTTTTTTGGCATATCACCTCCATAAACCCTTTTTTTTTTTTGGAATTATCCTTTTTATAAATATATAAAAATAAATAATTTTATAAAATCACAGTAAAGAACACTATTGGAGGACTAATGAACAAATAAAGATAAAAATAGAAAATAAAAAATAAAAGTATAAAAGAAGAAAATAAAAAAACGAAAATAAAATGCAAACTAAAGAAAACAAATTTAAACTGAAATCTCAAAATCATTGTTATATAAATTCTAAAAGTTTAAAAAATAAAAAAGTTTAGAGAGAGATATATATATATATATATATATATATATATATATATAAAAGTTTCAAAAAAAGTAATAATAATAATATAAGGTAATGAGCATATACTATTCCCAATCCAAATCATAAGCTTTCAGCTTCCATATATAATATTGCATTGAAAGTAAATAACAAATTTGTTCCTCCGAAAACAAATGCACACTACCTTCTTTTTCTTCTTCTTTTTCTTTTTCTTTTTCTTTTTTTTTCTTGTTTAACATGGTACGGAAAAAAATAATTCAGTAAATTGAAATCTCAAAAAAATTAAATAATTATTCTACAAATTTAAAAAATAATAAAAATTAGATATATATATATATATATACAGAAAAAATGTTTCAAAAAATAATAATAATATAAAGTAATGTGTTCATAACACCCTTATATTATTCTCAATCCAAATCATAAGCTTTCAGCTTCCATATATTAGACTTTTGTTCACAATTCATCAGACTTTGTATTAATAAAATACTCACAATCAGGGGAGAGAAAAAAGAAAAAGAAAAGAAAAGAAAGTCCATGCATATGCACCATAATATTACATTGAAAGATCGTCATTTATTGCGAAAGCAATCAGTAAATAACTAAGCAATAGGAATGAGTTGCTATTATAATAAACGCACTGAACCGTCAGGAATTTGCCTGTAACATGGCAACCAACTCCGGATTCCAACTAAAACTAAAAAAAGTAGAAACCAACTCGAATGTCAAAAAGTAGAAGGATATCAGCTGCGGAGACCAATTCGGAGCGACAATCGGGACACCTGTGACTGCTTTTCAGCCAACTTACAATGCAGTCCCCATGGTACAGATGAGAGCATGGCATACGGGTGACCTCCGAGCCAATCAAAAATTCTTTCGAGCAGATGGAACAAAACCCTTGACCACCACGACGACGACCACCCCCCTCGAATTTCACCTTCTTCAATGCCTCGACTGATGATCTGGCTGCTGGTATGGCCATGTTTGGGGCATGGTTTCTAATGGCCAAGAATTGAGCTTCCAACTTCCTTGAAGGCTGTCCAGTGATGACCTCGTTGTATTCCTTCACAAAATTCTCACGATCAACGCTCCTTCTGTTGTTAGTCCAATTGACCCATGCATCGAATTCATGGTGCGGTAGAGTAACCCTTTTCTCGATTTTCAAAATTTCACCTCAACGGGTCGTGCATAACAGCCTTGTTGGTTCAAAGGTGTAAATTTAGAAGCACCTGTATTCATGAAACAAGCGTAATCCAAAATATGCTTGATCATGTCGTCTTGGTTCATCAATGAAGTAATGGGGCCATAGTGACTATCGTGATCCTCTTTCCAATGAAGCCTATCTAATGTAAAAGGGATGCTCACCACAGTAATCATTATTGATATAATCTCCCATGACAACGATGAAGGCGAACCATCGTCGGAAGTTAACATATGTACTGGAAACTTGAAATTTGTGCATGTATAGTGGCCATTGAAGTTGTGAGTATTGCTTCTGTCCGATGAGAAGTAACTAACTCGGACAAACACCCTCATGTAGACCTCTTCAGGGGATTGTTTCTGAGGAAGATGCTTATAAAAGTGGCTACCAGAAACAAGTACAGAGTAGTTTTTATAGGAATTGTAGGGTGGAACTGTCAGTACTTCAAGCGCCATCATGCACAAACTCACTCAAAGGTCCACCTTAATTTGAGGGGGGAGAGAGGAATTACTTATCAATATATAGTTATACATTTATGTGTATATATATAGACACAGAGTTCTTGATCATTGGCAATACTCTAATCCTCGTTCCATATCGGAATGGGATGCTACTAATCCGCTTTTTGGACGTAAAAGATTGAAAGGTAATCTTGTCCTATTATTTAGGAAGATTTTTTTTTTTTTTTTTTCGGTAAATTGATATATATATATATTTTTTAGGAAGATTTCTTTTTATTACTGTATTATTTTTTTTCCAAATTTGTTCACACGTTTTAATTTACCCATCCTCCTATACTATTTTTAGATCTCTCTATTTATATGATTCTAAATTTTAATGCATCACCTTAAGTCTTGAATTTATAAAACAACCCAACTCAAAAAGAAATTGAGAGAAAAGTGAGTTTCAATTCCCAAATGCCATAAATAAATCATTTTCAAATATAGGAACTATCACTGGAAATTCTCATAACCATTTGAGAAAGATTTGATAAAAAAACAAAATAGTTTTGACACCTAAAATTATTTTTTTGGGCCCATAATGAACCATTAAAGAAGAGATCAAAAGCCATTATCTTCATGGACTTGGATCCTCTAAGTTAAATATTTTTTAAATTATTCTAAATTGAATTCGCTACAGATTGACAATAAAAGAAAATTTAAAAACTGCATT